GATGCTCCTTGTGTGAAACGCTGTGATCCTAAGGTCGCTGGTTCAACTCCAGCTCCAAGCACCTCCTTGTCATTGGAAATACCCCCAAGCCTTGTCTTTATCTGTCAACTCCTCCAAAATGTCAAAACACAAAGAAGATAACTCTTTCTTAAATTTTCAACCATCAATTTTTTATTCACTCAGCCTAAAAGTCCTGATTATCAGTTCTGGGTCCCTGGCAATGACTGTTGGGTACAAACTGCAAAGCTTTGTTCTGCAGGTAGGGCTGGGCTTTTCATTGACCATGGGTTGGAATAGTTCTGTGGGCATAGTGTGTCTTCGAAGCCACTATGTTTTCTGCACTTGTGACTAGAGAGCACCTTGATAGCTCAGTTGGTAGAGCGGTGGACTGTAAGATGCTCCTTGTGTGAAACGCTGTGATCCTAAGGTCGCTGGTTCAACTCCAGCTCCAAGCACCTCCTTGTCATTGGAAATACCCCCAAGCCTTGTCTTTATCTGTCAACTCCTCCAAAATGTCAAAACACAAAGAAGATAACTCTTTCTTAAATTTTCAACCATCAATTTTTTATTCACCCAGCCTAAAAGTCCTGATTATCAGTTCTGGGTCCCTGGCAATGACTGTTGGGTACAAACTGCAAAGCTTTGTTCTGCAGGTAGGGCTGGGCTTTTCATTGACCATGGGTTGGAATAGTTCTGTGGGCATAGTGTGTCTTCGAAGCCACTATGTTTTCTGCACTTGTGACTAGAGAGCACCTTGATAGCTCAGTTGGTAGAGCGGTGGCCTGTAAGATGCTCCTTGTGTGAAACGCCGTGATCCTAAGGTCGCTGGTTCAACTCCAGCTCCAAGCACCTCCTTGTCATTGGAAATACCCCCAAGCCTTGTCTTTATCTGTCAACTCCTCCAAAATGTCAAAACACAAAGAAGATAACTCTTTCTTAAATTTTCAACCATCAATTTTTTATTCACTCAGCCTAAAAGTCCTGATTATCAGTTCTGGGTCCCTGGCAATGACTGTTGGGTACAAACTGCAAAGCTTTGTTCTGCAGGTAGGGCTGGGCTTTTCATTGACCATGGGTTGGAATAGTTCTGTGGGCATAGTGTGTCTTCGAAGCCACTATGTTTTCTGCACTTGTGACTAGAGAGCACCTTGATAGCTCAGTTGGTAGAGCGGTGGACTGTAAGATGCTCCTTGTGTGAAACGCTGTGATCCTAAGGTCGCTGGTTCAACTCCAGCTCCAAGCACCTCCTTGTCATTGGAAATACCCCCAAGCCTTGTCTTTATCTGTCAACTCCTCCAAAATGTCAAAACACAAAGAAGATAACTCTTTCTTAAATTTTCAACCATCAATTTTTTATTCACTCAGCCTAAAAGTCCTGATTATCAGTTCTGGGTCCCTGGCAATGACTGTTGGGTACAAACTGCAAAGCTTTGTTCTGCAGGTAGGGCTGGGCTTTTCATTGACCATGGGTTGGAATAGTTCTGTGGGCATAGTGTGTCTTCGAAGCCACTATGTTTTCTGCACTTGTGACTAGAGAGCACCTTGATAGCTCAGTTGGTAGAGCGGTGGACTGTAAGATGCTCCTTGTGTGAAACGCTGTGATCCTAAGGTCGCTGGTTCAACTCCAGCTCCAAGCACCTCCTTGTCATTGGAAATACCCCCAAGCCTTGTCTTTATCTGTCAACTCCTCCAAAATGTCAAAACACAAACAAGATAACTCTTTCTTAAATTTTCAACCATCAATTTTTTATTCACCCAGCCTAAAAGTCCTGATTATCAGTTCTGGGTCCCTGGCAATGACTGTTGGGTACAAACTGCAAAGCTTTGTTCTGCAGGTAGGGCTGGGCTTTTCATTGACCATGGGTTGGAATAGTTCTGTGGGCATAGTGTGTCTTCGAAGCCACTATGTTTTCTGCACTTGTGACTAGAGAGCACCTTGATAGCTCAGTTGGTAGAGCGGTGGCCTGTAAGATGCTCCTTGTGTGAAACGCTGTGATCCTAAGGTCGCTGGTTCAACTCCAGCTCCAAGCACCTCCTTGTCATTGGAAATACCCCCAAGCCTTGTCTTTATCTGTCAACTCCTCCAAAATGTCAAAACACAAAGAAGATAACTCTTTCTTAAATTTTCAACCATCAATTTTTTATTCACCCAGCCTAAAAGTCCTGATTATCAGTTCTGGGTCCCTGGCAATGACTGTTGGGTACAAACTGCAAAGCTTTGTTCTGCAGGTAGGGCTGGGCTTTTCATTGACCATGGGTTGGAATAGTTCTGTGGGCATAGTGTGTCTTCGAAGCCACTATGTTTTCTGCACTTGTGACTAGAGAGCACCTTGATAGCTCAGTTGGTAGAGCGGTGGACTGTAAGATGCTCCTTGTGTGAAACGCCGTGATCCTAAGGTCGCTGGTTCAACTCCAGCTCCAAGCACCTCCTTGTCATTGGAAATACCCCCAAGCCTTGTCTTTATCTGTCAACTCCTCCAAAATGTCAAAACACAAACAAGATAACTCTTTCTTAAATTTTCAACCATCAATTTTTTATTCACCCAGCCTAAAAGTCCTGATTATCAGTTCTGGGTCCCTGGCAATGACTGTTGGGTACAAACTGCAAAGCTTTGTTCTGCAGGTAGGGCTGGGCTTTTCATTGACCATGGGTTGGAATAGTTCTGTGGGCATAGTGTGTCTTTGAAGCCACTATGTTTTCTGCACTTGTGACTAGAGAGCACCTTGATAGCTCAGTTGGTAGAGCGGTGGACTGTAAGATGCTCCTTGTGTGAAACGCTGTGATCCTAAGGTCGCTGGTTCAACTCCAGCTCCAAGCACCTCCTTGTCATTGGAAATACCCCCAAGCCTTGTCTTTATCTGTCAACTCCTCCAAAATGTCAAAACACAAAGAAGATAACTCTTTCTTAAATTTTCAACCATCAATTTTTTATTCACCCAGCCTAAAAGTCCTGATTATCAGTTCTGGGTCCCTGGCAATGACTGTTGGGTACAAACTGCAAAGCTTTGTTCTGCAGGTAGGGCTGGGCTTTTCATTGACCATGGGTTGGAATAGTTCTGTGGGCATAGTGTGTCTTCGAAGCCACTATGTTTTCTGCACTTGTGACTAGAGAGCACCTTGATAGCTCAGTTGGTAGAGCGGTGGACTGTAAGATGCTCCTTGTGTGAAACGCCGTGATCCTAAGGTCGCTGGTTCAACTCCAGCTCCAAGCACCTCCTTGTCATTGGAAATACCCCCAAGCCTTGTCTTTATCTGTCAACTCCTCCAAAATGTCAAAACACAAAGAAGATAACTCTTTCTTAAATTTTCAACCATCAATTTTTTATTCACTCAGCCTAAAAGTCCTGATTATCAGTTCTGGGTCCCTGGCAATGACTGTTGGGTACAAACTGCAAAGCTTTGTTCTGCAGGTAGGGCTGGGCTTTTCATTGACCATGGGTTGGAATAGTTCTGTGGGCATAGTGTGTCTTCGAAGCCACTATGTTTTCTGCACTTGTGACTAGAGAGCACCTTGATAGCTCAGTTGGTAGAGCGGTGGACTGTAAGATGCTCCTTGTGTGAAACGCTGTGATCCTAAGGTCGCTGGTTCAACTCCAGCTCCAAGCACCTCCTTGTCATTGGAAATACCCCCAAGCCTTGTCTTTATCTGTCAACTCCTCCAAAATGTCAAAACACAAAGAAGATAACTCTTTCTTAAATTTTCAACCATCAATTTTTTATTCACCCAGCCTAAAAGTCCTGATTATCAGTTCTGGGTCCCTGGCAATGACTGTTGGGTACAAACTGCAAAGCTTTGTTCTGCAGGTAGGGCTGGGCTTTTCATTGACCATGGGTTGGAATAGTTCTGTGGGCATAGTGTGTCTTCGAAGCCACTATGTTTTCTGCACTTGTGACTAGAGAGCACCTTGATAGCTCAGTTGGTAGAGCGGTGGACTGTAAGATGCTCCTTGTGTGAAACGCTGTGATCCTAAGGTCGCTGGTTCAACTCCAGCTCCAAGCACCTCCTTGTCATTGGAAATACCCCCAAGCCTTGTCTTTATCTGTCAACTCCTCCAAAATGTCAAAACACAAACAAGATAACTCTTTCTTAAATTTTCAACCATCAATTTTTTATTCACTCAGCCTAAAAGTCCTGATTATCAGTTCTGGGTCCCTGGCAATGACTGTTGGGTACAAACTGCAAAGCTTTGTTCTGCAGGTAGGGCTGGGCTTTTCATTGACCATGGGTTGGAATAGTTCTGTGGGCATAGTGTGTCTTCGAAGCCACTATGTTTTCTGCACTTGTGACTAGAGAGCACCTTGATAGCTCAGTTGGTAGAGCGGTGGACTGTAAGATGCTCCTTGTGTGAAACGCTGTGATCCTAAGGTCGCTGGTTCAACTCCAGCTCCAAGCACCTCCTTGTCATTGGAAATACCCCCAAGCCTTGTCTTTATCTGTCAACTCCTCCAAAATGTCAAAACACAAAGAAGATAACTCTTTCTTAAATTTTCAACCATCAATTTTTTATTCACCCAGCCTAAAAGTCCTGATTATCAGTTCTGGGTCCCTGGCAATGACTGTTGGGTACAAACTGCAAAGCTTTGTTCTGCAGGTAGGGCTGGGCTTTTCATTGACCATGGGTTGGAATAGTTCTGTGGGCATAGTGTGTCTTCGAAGCCACTATGTTTTCTGCACTTGTGACTAGAGAGCACCTTGATAGCTCAGTTGGTAGAGCGGTGGACTGTAAGATGCTCCTTGTGTGAAACGCTGTGATCCTAAGGTCGCTGGTTCAACTCCAGCTCCAAGCACCTCCTTGTCATTGGAAATACCCCCAAGCCTTGTCTTTATCTGTCAACTCCTCCAAAATGTCAAAACACAAAGAAGATAACTCTTTCTTAAATTTTCAACCATCAATTTTTTATTCACTCAGCCTAAAAGTCCTGATTATCAGTTCTGGGTCCCTGGCAATGACTGTTGGGTACAAACTGCAAAGCTTTGTTCTGCAGGTAGGGCTGGGCTTTTCATTGACCATGGGTTGGAATAGTTCTGTGGGCATAGTGTGTCTTCGAAGCCACTATGTTTTCTGCACTTGTGACTAGAGAGCACCTTGATAGCTCAGTTGGTAGAGCGGTGGACTGTAAGATGCTCCTTGTGTGAAACGCTGTGATCCTAAGGTCGCTGGTTCAACTCCAGCTCCAAGCACCTCCTTGTCATTGGAAATACCCCCAAGCCTTGTCTTTATCTGTCAACTCCTCCAAAATGTCAAAACACAAAGAAGATAACTCTTTCTTAAATTTTCAACCATCAATTTTTTATTCACTCAGCCTAAAAGTCCTGATTATCAGTTCTGGGTCCCTGGCAATGACTGTTGGGTACAAACTGCAAAGCTTTGTTCTGCAGGTAGGGCTGGGCTTTTCATTGACCATGGGTTGGAATAGTTCTGTGGGCATAGTGTGTCTTCGAAGCCACTATGTTTTCTGCACTTGTGACTAGAGAGCACCTTGATAGCTCAGTTGGTAGAGCGGTGGACTGTAAGATGCTCCTTGTGTGAAACGCTGTGATCCTAAGGTCGCTGGTTCAACTCCAGCTCCAAGCACCTCCTTGTCATTGGAAATACCCCCAAGCCTTGTCTTTATCTGTCAACTCCTCCAAAATGTCAAAACACAAACAAGATAACTCTTTCTTAAATTTTCAACCATCAATTTTTTATTCACCCAGCCTAAAAGTCCTGATTATCAGTTCTGGGTCCCTGGCAATGACTGTTGGGTACAAACTGCAAAGCTTTGTTCTGCAGGTAGGGCTGGGCTTTTCATTGACCATGGGTTGGAATAGTTCTGTGGGCATAGTGTGTCTTCGAAGCCACTATGTTTTCTGCACTTGTGACTAGAGAGCACCTTGATAGCTCAGTTGGTAGAGCGGTGGACTGTAAGATGCTCCTTGTGTGAAACGCTGTGATCCTAAGGTCGCTGGTTCAACTCCAGCTCCAAGCACCTCCTTGTCATTGGAAATACCCCCAAGCCTTGTCTTTATCTGTCAACTCCTCCAAAATGTCAAAACACAAAGAAGATAACTCTTTCTTAAATTTTCAACCATCAATTTTTTATTCACTCAGCCTAAAAGTCCTGATTATCAGTTCTGGGTCCCTGGCAATGACTGTTGGGTACAAACTGCAAAGCTTTGTTCTGCAGGTAGGGCTGGGCTTTTCATTGACCATGGGTTGGAATAGTTCTGTGGGCATAGTGTGTCTTCGAAGCCACTATGTTTTCTGCACTTGTGACTAGAGAGCACCTTGATAGCTCAGTTGGTAGAGCGGTGGACTGTAAGATGCTCCTTGTGAGAAACGCTGTGATCCTAAGGTCGCTGGTTCAACTCCAGCTCCAAGCACCTCCTTGTCATTGGAAATACCCCCAAGCCTTGTCTTTATCTGTCAACTCCTCCAAAATGTCAAAACACAAACAAGATAACTCTTTCTTAAATTTTCAACCATCAATTTTTTATTCACCCAGCCTAAAAGTCCTGATTATCAGTTCTGGGTCCCTGGCAATGACTGTTGGGTACAAACTGCAAAGCTTTGTTCTGCAGGTAGGGCTGGGCTTTTCATTGACCATGGGTTGGAATAGTTCTGTGGGCATAGTGTGTCTTCGAAGCCACTATGTTTTCTGCACTTGTGACTAGAGAGCACCTTGATAGCTCAGTTGGTAGAGCGGTGGACTGTAAGATGCTCCTTGTGTGAAACGCCGTGATCCTAAGGTCGCTGGTTCAACTCCAGCTCCAAGCACCTCCTTGTCATTGGAAATACCCCCAAGCCTTGTCTTTATCTGTCAACTCCTCCAAAATGTCAAAACACAAAGAAGATAACTCTTTCTTAAATTTTCAACCATCAATTTTTTATTCACTCAGCCTAAAAGTCCTGATTATCAGTTCTGGGTCCCTGGCAATGACTGTTGGGTACAAACTGCAAAGCTTTGTTCTGCAGGTAGGGCTGGGCTTTTCATTGACCATGGGTTGGAATAGTTCTGTGGGCATAGTGTGTCTTCGAAGCCACTATGTTTTCTGCACTTGTGACTAGAGAGCACCTTGATAGCTCAGTTGGTAGAGCGGTTGGACTGTAAGATGCTCCTTGTGTGAAACGCTGTGATCCTAAGGTCGCTGGTTCAACTCCAGCTCCAAGCACCTCCTTGTCATTGGAAATACCCCCAAGCCTTGTCTTTATCTGTCAACTCCTCCAAAATGTCAAAACACAAAGAAGATAACTCTTTCTTAAATTTTCAACCATCAATTTTTTATTCACTCAGCCTAAAAGTCCTGATTATCAGTTCTGGGTCCCTGGCAATGACTGTTGGGTACAAACTGCAAAGCTTTGTTCTGCAGGTAGGGCTGGGCTTTTCATTGACCATGGGTTGGAATAGTTCTGTGGGCATAGTGTGTCTTCGAAGCCACTATGTTTTCTGCACTTGTGACTAGAGAGCACCTTGATAGCTCAGTTGGTAGAGCGGTGGACTGTAAGATGCTCCTTGTGTGAAACGCTGTGATCCTAAGGTCGCTGGTTCAACTCCAGCTCCAAGCACCTCCTTGTCATTGGAAATACCCCCAAGCCTTGTCTTTATCTGTCAACTCCTCCAAAATGTCAAAACACAAACAAGATAACTCTTTCTTAAATTTTCAACCATCAATTTTTTATTCACCCAGCCTAAAAGTCCTGATTATCAGTTCTGGGTCCCTGGCAATGACTGTTGGGTACAAACTGCAAAGCTTTGTTCTGCAGGTAGGGCTGGGCTTTTCATTGACCATGGGTTGGAATAGTTCTGTGGGCATAGTGTGTCTTCGAAGCCACTATGTTTTCTGCACTTGTGACTAGAGAGCACCTTGATAGCTCAGTTGGTAGAGCGGTGGCCTGTAAGATGCTCCTTGTGTGAAACGCCGTGATCCTAAGGTCGCTGGTTCAACTCCAGCTCCAAGCACCTCCTTGTCATTGGAAATACCCCCAAGCCTTGTCTTTATCTGTCAACTCCTCCAAAATGTCAAAACACAAACAAGATAACTCTTTCTTAAATTTTCAACCATCAATTTTTTATTCACCCAGCCTAAAAGTCCTGATTATCAGTTCTGGGTCCCTGGCAATGACTGTTGGGTACAAACTGCAAAGCTTTGTTCTGCAGGTAGGGCTGGGCTTTTCATTGACCATGGGTTGGAATAGTTCTGTGGGCATAGTGTGTCTTCGAAGCCACTATGTTTTCTGCACTTGTGACTAGAGAGCACCTTGATAGCTCAGTTGGTAGAGCGGTGGACTGTAAGATGCTCCTTGTGTGAAACGCTGTGATCCTAAGGTCGCTGGTTCAACTCCAGCTCCAAGCACCTCCTTGTCATTGGAAATACCCCCAAGCCTTGTCTTTATCTGTCAACTCCTCCAAAATGTCAAAACACAAACAAGATAACTCTTTCTTAAATTTTCAACCATCAATTTTTTATTCACCCAGCCTAAAAGTCCTGATTATCAGTTCTGGGTCCCTGGCAATGACTGTTGGGTACAAACTGCAAAGCTTTGTTCTGCAGGTAGGGCTGGGCTTTTCATTGACCATGGGTTGGAATAGTTCTGTGGGCATAGTGTGTCTTTGAAGCCACTATGTTTTCTGCACTTGTGACTAGAGAGCACCTTGATAGCTCAGTTGGTAGAGCGGTGGACTGTAAGATGCTCCTTGTGTGAAAAGCTGTGATCCTAAGGTCGCTGGTTCAACTCCAGCTCCAAGCACCTCCTTGTCATTGGAAATACCCCCAAGCCTTGTCTTTATCTGTCAACTCCTCCAAAATGTCAAAACACAAAGAAGATAACTCTTTCTTAAATTTTCAACCATCAATTTTTTATTCACCCAGCCTAAAAGTCCTGATTATCAGTTCTGGGTCCCTGGCAATGACTGTTGGGTACAAACTGCAAAGCTTTGTTCTGCAGGTAGGGCTGGGCTTTTCATTGACCATGGGTTGGAATAGTTCTGTGGGCATAGTGTGTCTTCGAAGCCACTATGTTTTCTGCACTTGTGACTAGAGAGCACCTTGATAGCTCAGTTGGTAGAGCGGTGGACTGTAAGATGCTCCTTGTGTGAAACGCCGTGATCCTAAGGTCGCTGGTTCAACTCCAGCTCCAAGCACCTCCTTGTCATTGGAAATACCCCCAAGCCTTGTCTTTATCTGTCAACTCCTCCAAAATGTCAAAACACAAACAAGATAACTCTTTCTTAAATTTTCAACCATCAATTTTTTATTCACCCAGCCTAAAAGTCCTGATTATCAGTTCTGGGTCCCTGGCAATGACTGTTGGGTACAAACTGCAAAGCTTTGTTCTGCAGGTAGGGCTGGGCTTTTCATTGACCATGGGTTGGAATAGTTCTGTGGGCATAGTGTGTCTTCGAAGCCACTATGTTTTCTGCACTTGTGACTAGAGAGCACCTTGATAGCTCAGTTGGTAGAGCGGTGGACTGTAAGATGCTCCTTCTGTGAAACGCTGTGATCCTAAGGTCGCTGGTTCAACTCCAGCTCCAAGCACCTCCTTGTCATTGGAAATACCCCCAAGCCTTGTCTTTATCTGTCAACTCCTCCAAAATGTCAAAACACAAAGAAGATAACTCTTTCTTAAATTTTCAACCATCAATTTTTTATTCACCCAGCAACTTGATAGCTCAGTCTGGTAGATTGACCGGTGGACTGTAAGATGCTGCTTCTGTGCTCAAACGGTGGCTGTGATCCTAAGGGCGCTGGTTCAACTCCAGCTCCAAGCACCTCCTTGTCATTGGAAATACCCCCAAGCCTTGTCTTTATCTGTCAACTCCTCCAAAATGTCAAAACACAAAGAAGATAACTCTTTCTTAAATTTTCAACCATCAATTTTTTATTCACCCAGCCTAAAAGTCCTGATTATCAGTTCTGGGTCCCTGGCAATGACTGTTGGGTACAAACTGCAAAGCTTTGTTCTGCAGGTAGGGCTGGGCTTTTCATTGACCATGGGTTGGAATAGTTCTGTGGGCATAGTGTGTCTTCGAAGCCACTATGTTTTCTGCACTTGTGACTAGAGAGCACCTTGATAGCTCAGTTGGTAGAGCGGTGGACTGTAAGATGCTCCTTGTGTGAAACGCCGTGATCCTAAGGTCGCTGGTTCAACTCCAGCTCTCAAGCACCTCCTTGTCATTGGAAATACCCCCAAGCCTTGTCTTTATCTGTCAACTCCTCCAAAATGTCAAAACACAAAGAAGATAACTCTTTCTTAAATTTTCAACCATCAATTTTTTATTCACCCAGCCTAAAAGTCCTGATTATCAGTTCTGGGTCCCTGGCAATGACTGTTGGGTACAAACTGCAAAGCTTTGTTCTGCGGGTAGGGCTGGGCTTTTCATTGACCATGGGTTGGAATAGTTCTGTGGGCATAGTGTGTCTTCGAAGCCACTATGTTTTCTGCACTTGTGACTAGAGAGCACCTTGATAGCTCAGTTGGTAGAGCGGTGGACTGTAAGATGCTCCTTGTGTGAAACGCTGTGATCCTAAGGTCGCTGGTTCAACTCCAGCTCCAAGCACCTCCTTGTCATTGGAAATACCCCCAAGCCTTGTCTTTATCTGTCAACTCCTCCAAAATGTCAAAACACAAAGAAGATAACTCTTTCTTAAATTTTCAACCATCAATTTTTTATTCACCCAGCCTAAAAGTCCTGATTATCAGTTCTGGGTCCCTGGCAATGACTGTTGGGTACAAACTGCAAAGCTTTGTTCTGCAGGTAGGGCTGGGCTTTTCATTGACCATGGGTTGGAATAGTTCTGTGGGCATAGTGTGTCTTCGAAGCCACTATGTTTTCTGCACTTGTGACTAGAGAGCACCTTGATAGCTCAGTTGGTAGAGCGGTGGACTGTAAGATGCTCCTTGTGTGAAACGCCGTGATCCTAAGCTCGCTGGTTCAACTCCAGCTCCAAGCACCTCCTTGTCATTGGAAATACCCCCAAGCCTTGTCTTTATCTGTCAACTCCTCCAAAATGTCAAAACACAAAGAAGATAACTCTTTCTTAAATTTTCAACCATCAATTTTTTATTCACTCAGCCTAAAAGTCCTGATTATCAGTTCTGGGTCCCTGGCAATGACTGTTGGGTACAAACTGCAAAGCTTTGTTCTGCAGGTAGGGCTGGGCTTTTCATTGACCATGGGTTGGAATAGTTCTGTGGGCATAGTGTGTCTTCGAAGCCACTATGTTTTCTGCACTTGTGACTAGAGAGCACCTTGATAGCTCAGTTGGTAGAGCGGTGGACTGTAAGATGCTCCTTGTGTGAAACGCCGTGATCCTAAGCTCGCTGGTTCAACTCCAGCTCCAAGCACCTCCTTGTCATTGGAAATACCCCCAAGCCTTGTCTTTATCTGTCAACTCCTCCAAAATGTCAAAACACAAAGAAGATAACTCTTTCTTAAATTTTCAACCATCAATTTTTTATTCACCCAGCCTAAAAGTCCTGAATATCAGTTCTGGGTCCCTGGCAATGACTGTTGGGTACAAACTGCAAAGCTTTGTTCTGCAGGTAGGGCTGGGCTTTTCATTGACCATGGGTTGGAATAGTTCTGTGGGCATAGTGTGTCTTCGAAGCCACTATGTTTTCTGCACTTGTGACTAGAGAGCACCTTGATAGCTCAGTTGGTAGAGCGGTGGACTGTAAGATGCTCCTTGTGTGAAACGCCGTGATCCTAAGGTCGCTGGTTCAACTCCAGCTCCAAGCACCTCCTTGTCATTGGAAATACCCCCAAGCCTTGTCTTTATCTGTCAACTCCTCCAAAATGTCAAAACACAAACAAGATAACTCTTTCTTAAATTTTCAACCATCAATTTTTTATTCACTCAGCCTAAAAGTCCTGATTATCAGTTCTGGGTCCCTGGCAATGACTGTTGGGTACAAACTGCAAAGCTTTGTTCTGCAGGTAGGGCTGGGCTTTTCATTGACCATGGGTTGGAATAGTTCTGTGGGCATAGTGTGTCTTCGAAGCCACTATGTTTTCTGCACTTGTGACTAGAGAGCACCTTGATAGCTCAGTTGGTAGAGCGGTGGACTGTAAGATGCTCCTTGTGTGAAACGCTGTGATCCTAAGGTCGCTGGTTCAACTCCAGCTCCAAGCACCTCCTTGTCATTGGAAATACCCCCAAGCCTTGTCTTTATCTGTCAACTCCTCCAAAATGTCAAAACACAAAGAAGATAACTCTTTCTTAAATTTTCAACCATCAATTTTTTATTCACCCAGCCTAAAAGTCCTGATTATCAGTTCTGGGTCCCTGGCAATGACTGTTGGGTACAAACTGCAAAGCTTTGTTCTGCAGGTAGGGCTGGGCTTTTCATTGACCATGGGTTGGAATAGTTCTGTGGGCATAGTGTGTCTTCGAAGCCACTATGTTTTCTGCACTTGTGACTAGAGAGCACCTTGATAGCTCAGTTGGAAGAGCGGTGGACTGTAAGATGCTCCTTGTGTGAAACGCTGTGATCCTAAGGTCGCTGGTTCAACTCCAGCTCCAAGCACCTCCTTGTCATTGGAAATACCCCCAAGCCTTGTCTTTATCTGTCAACTCCTCCAAAATGTCAAAACACAAACAAGATAACTCTTTCTTAAATTTTCAACCATCAATTTTTTATTCACTCAGCCTAAAAGTCCTGATTATCAGTTCTGGGTCCCTGGCAATGACTGTTGGGTACAAACTGCAAAGCTTTGTTCTGCAGGTAGGGCTGGGCTTTTCATTGACCATGGGTTGGAATAGTTCTGTGGGCATAGTGTGTCTTCGAAGCCACTCTGTTTTCTGCACTTGTGACTAGAGAGCACCTTGATAGCTCAGTTGGTAGAGCGGTGGACTGTAAGATGCTCCTTGTGTGAAACGCTGTGATCCTAAGGTCGCTGGTTCAACTCCAGCTCCAAGCACCTCCTTGTCATTGGAAATACCCCCAAGCCTTGTCTTTATCTGTCAACTCCTCCAAAATGTCAAAACACAAAGAAGATAACTCTTTCTTAAATTTTCAACCATCAATTTTTTATTCGCCCAGCCTAAAAGTCCTGATTATCAGTTCTGGGTCCCTGGCAATGACTGTTGGGTACAAACTGCAAAGCTTTGTTCTGCAGGTAGGGCTGGGCTTTTCATTGACCATGGGTTGGAATAGTTCTGTGGGCATAGTGTGTCTTCGAAGCCACTATGTTTTCTGCACTTGTGACTAGAGAGCACCTTGATAGCTCAGTTGGTAGAGCGGTGGACTGTAAGATGCTCCTTGTGTGAAACGCCGTGATCCTAAGGTCGCTGGTTCAACTCCAGCTCCAAGCACCTCCTTGTCATTGGAAATACCCCCAAGCCTTGTCTTTATCTGTCAACTCCTCCAAAATGTCAAAACACAAACAAGATAACTCTTTCTTAAATTTTCAACCATCAATTTTTTATTCACTCAGCCTAAAAGTCCTGATTATCAGTTCTGGGTCCCTGGCAATGACTGTTGGGTACAAACTGCAAAGCTTTGTTCTGCAGGTAGGGCTGGGCTTTTCATTGACCATGGGTTGGAATAGTTCTGTGGGCATAGTGTGTCTTCGAAGCCACTATGTTTTCTGCACTTGTGACTAGAGAGCACCTTGATAGCTCAGTTGGTAGAGCGGTGGACTGTAAGATGCTCCTTGTGTGAAACGCTGTGATCCTAAGGTCGCTGGTTCAACTCCAGCTCCAAGCACCTCCTTGTCATTGGAAATACCCCCAAGCCTTGTCTTTATCTGTCAACTCCTCCAAAATGTCAAAACACAAAGAAGATAACTCTTTCTTAAATTTTCAACCATCAATTTTTTATTCACTCAGCCTAAAAGTCCTGATTATCAGTTCTGGGTCCCTGGCAATGACTGTTGGGTACAAACTGCAAAGCTTTGTTCTGCAGGTAGGGCTGGGCTTTTCATTGACCATGGGTTGGAATAGTTCTGTGGGCATAGTGTGTCTTCGAAGCCACTATGTTTTCTGCACTTGTGACTAGAGAGCACCTTGATAGCTCAGTTGGTAGAGCGGTGGACTGTAAGATGCTCCTTGTGTGAAACGCTGTGATCCTAAGGTCGCTGGTTCAACTCCAGCTCCAAGCACCTCCTTGTCATTGGAAATACCCCCAAGCCTTGTCTTTATCTGTCAACTCCTCCAAAATGTCAAAACACAAACAAGATAACTCTTTCTTAAATTTTCAACCATCAATTTTTTATTCACCCAGCCTAAAAGTCCTGATTATCAGTTCTGGGTCCCTGGCAATGACTGTTGGGTACAAACTGCAAAGCTTTGTTCTGCAGGTAGGGCTGGGCTTTTCATTGACCATGGGTTGGAATAGTTCTGTGGGCATAGTGTGTCTTCGAAGCCACTATGTTTTCTGCACTTGTGACTAGAGAGCACCTTGATAGCTCAGTTGGTAGAGCGGTGGCCTGTAAGATGCTCCTTGTGTGAAACGCTGTGATCCTAAGGTCGCTGGTTCAACTCCAGCTCCAAGCACCTCCTTGTCATTGGAAATACCCCCAAGCCTTGTCTTTATCTGTCAACTCCTCCAAAATGTCAAAACACAAAGAAGATAACTCTTTCTTAAATTTTCAACCATCAATTTTTTATTCACCCAGCCTAAAAGTCCTGATTATCAGTTCTGGGTCCCTGGCAATGACTGTTGGGTACAAACTGCAAAGCTTTGTTCTGCAGGTAGGGCTGGGCTTTTCATTGACCATGGGTTGGAATAGTTCTGTGGGCAAGTGTGTCTTCGAAGCCACTATGTTTTCTGCACTTGTGACTAGAGAGCACCTTGATAGCTCAGTTGGTAGAGCGGTGGACTGTAAGATGCTCCTTGTGTGGAACGCTGTGATCCTAAGGTCGCTGGTTCAACTCCAGCTCCAAGCACCTCCTTGTCATTGGAAATACCCCCAAGCCTTGTCTTTATCTGTCAACTCCTCCAAAATGTCAAAACACAAACAAGATAACTCTTTCTTAAATTTTCAACCATCAATTTTTTATTCACCCAGCCTAAAAGTCCTGATTATCAGTTCTGGGTCCCTGGCAATGACTGTTGGGTACAAACTGCAAAGCTTTGTTCTGCAGGTAGGGCTGGGCTTTTCATTGACCATGGGTTGGAATAGTTCTGTGGGCATAGTGTGTCTTTGAAGCCACTATGTTTTCTGCACTTGTAACTAGAGAGCACCTTGATAGCTCAGTTGGTAGAGCGGTGGCCTGTAAGATGCTCCTTGTGTGAAACGCTGTGATCCTAAGGTCGCTGGTTCAACTCCAGCTCCAAGCACCTCCTTGTCATTGGAAATACCCCCAAGCCTTGTCTTTATCTGTCAACTCCTCCAAAATGTCAAAACACAAACAAGATAACTCTTTCTTAAATTTTCAACCATCAATTTTTTATTCGCCCAGCCTAAAAGTCCTGATTATCAGTTCTGGGTCCCTGGCAATGACTGTTGGGTACAAACTGCAAAGCTTTGTTCTGCAGGTAGGGCTGGGCTTTTCATTGACCATGGGTTGGAATAGTTCTGTGGGCATAGTGTGTCTTTGAAGCCACTATGTTTTCTGCACTTGTGACTAGAGAGCACCTTGATAGCTCAGTTGGTTAGAGCGGTGGACTGTAAGATGCTCCTTGTGTGAAACGCTGTGATCCTAAGGTCGCTGGTTCAACTCCAGCTCCAAGCACCTCCTTGTCATTGGAAATACCCCCAAGCCTTGTCTTTATCTGTCAACTCCTCCAAAATGTCAAAACACAAACAAGATAACTCTTTCTTAAATTTTCAACCATCAATTTTTTATTCACCCAGCCTTAAAGTCCTGATTATCAGTTCTGGGTCCCTGGCAATGACTGTTGGGTACAAACTGCAAAGCTTTGTTCTGCAGGTAGGGCTGGGCTTTTCATTGACCGTGGGTTGGAATAGTTCTGTGGGCATAGTGTGTCTTCGAAGCCACTATGTTTTCTGCACTTGTGACTAGAGAGCACCTTGATAGCTCAGTTGGTAGAGCGGTGGACTGTAAGATGCTCCTTGTGTGGAACGCTGTGATCCTAAGGTCGCTGGTTCAACTCCAGCTCCAAGCACCTCCTTGTCATTGGAAATACCCCCAAGCCTTGTCTTTATCTGTCAACTCCTCCAAAATGTCAAAACACAAACAAGATAACTCTTTCTTAAATTTTCAACCATCAATTTTTTATTCGCCCAGCCTAAAAGTCCTGATTATCAGTTCTGGGTCCCTGGCAATGACTGTTGGGTACAAACTGCAAAGCTTTGTTCTGCAGGTAGGGCTGGGCTTTTCATTGACCATGGGTTGGAATAGTTCTGTGGGCATAGTGTGTCTTCGAAGCCACTATGTTTTCTGCACTTGTGACTAGAGAGCACCTTGATAGCTCAGTTGGTAGAGCGGTGGACTGTAAGATGCTCCTTGTGTGAAATGCTGTGATCCTAAGGTTCGCTGTTCAACTCCAGCTCCAAGCACCTCCTTGTCATTGGAAATACCCCCAAGCCTTGTCTTTATCTGTCAACTCCTCCAAAATGTCAAAACACAAAGAAGATAACTCTTTCTTAAATTTTCAACCATCAATTTTTTATTCACTCAGCCTAAAAGTCCTGATTATCAGTTCTGGGTCCCTGGCAATGACTGTTGGGTACAAACTGCAAAGCTTTGTTCTGCAGGTAGGGCTGGGCTTTTCATTGACCATGGGTTGGAATAGTTCTGTGGGCATAGTGTGTCTTCGAAGCCACTATGTTTTCTGCACTTGTGACTAGAGAGCACCTTGATAGCTCAGTTGGTAGAGCGGTGGACTGTAAGATGCTCCTTGTGTGAAACGCTGTGATCCTAAGTTCGCTGGTTCAACTCCAGCTCCAAGCACCTCCTTGTCATTGGAAATACCCCCAAGCCTTGTCTTTATCTGTCAACTCCTCCAAAATGTCAAAACACAAACAAGATAACTCTTTCTTAAATTTTCAACCATCAATTTTTTATTCACCCAGCCTAAAAGTCCTGATTATCAGTTCTGGGTCCCTGGCAATGACTGTTGGGTACAAACTGCAAAGCTTTGTTCTGCAGGTAGGGCTGGGCTTTTCATTGACCATGGGTTGGAATAGTTCTGTGGGCATAGTGTGTCTTCGAAGCCACTATGTTTTCTGCACTTGTGACTAGAGAGCACCTTGATAGCTCAGTTGGTAGAGCGGTGGACTGTAAGATGCTCCTTGTGTGAAATGCTGTGATCCTAAGGTCGCTGGTTCAACTCCAGCTCCAAGCACCTCCTTGTCATTAGGAAATACCCCCAAGCCTTGTCTTTATCTGTCAACTCCTCCAAAATGTCAAAACACAAACAAGATAACTCTTTCTTAAATTTTCAACCATCAATGTTTTATTCACCCAGCCTAAAAGTCCTGATTATCAGTTCTGGGTCCCTGGCAATGACTGTTGGGTACAAACTGCAAAGCTTTGTTCTGCAGGTAGGGCTGGGCTTTTCATTGACCATGGGTTGGAATAGTTCTGTGGGCATAGTGTGTCTTCGAAGCCACTATGTTTTCTGCACTTGTGACTAGAGAGCACCTTGATAGCTCAGTTGGTAGAGCGGTGGACTGTAAGATGCTCCTTGTGGGAAACGCCGTGATCCTAAGGTCGCTGGTTCAACTCCAGCTCCAAGCACCTCCTTGTCATTGGAAATACCCCCAAGCCTTGTCTTTATCTGTCAACTCCTCCAAAATGTCAAAACACAAAGAAGATAACTCTTTCTTAAATTTTCAACCATCAATTTTTTATTCACCCAGCCTAAAAGTCCTGATTATCAGTTCTGGGTCCCTGGCAATGACTGTTGGGTACAAACTGCAAAGCTTTGTTCTGCAGGTAGGGCTGGGCTTTTCATTGACCATGGGTTGGAATAGTTGCTGTGGGCATAGTGTGTCTTCGAAGCCACTATGTTTTCTGCACTTGTGACTAGAGAGCACCTTGATAGCTCAGTTGGTAGAGCGGTGGACTGTAAGATGCTCCTTGTGTGAAACGCTGTGATCCTAAGTTCGCTGGTTCAACTCCAGCTCCAAGCACCTCCTTGTCATTGGAAATACCCCCAAGCCTTGTCTTTATCTGTCAACTCCTCCAAAATGTCAAAACACAAAGAAGATAACTCTTTCTTAAATTTTCAACCATCAATGTTTTATTCACCCAGCCTAAAAGTCCTGATTATCAGTTCTGGGTCCCTGGCAATGACTGTTGGGTACAAACTGCAAAGCTTTGTTCTGCAGGTAGGGCTGGGCTTTTCATTGACCATGGGTTGGAATAGTTCTGTGGGCATAGTGTGTCTTCGAAGCCACTATGTTTTCTGCACTTGTGACTACAGAGCACCTTGATAGCTCAGTTGGTAGAGCGGTGGACTGTAAGATGCTCCTTGTGTGAAATGCTGTGATCCTAAGGTCGCTGGTTCAACTCCAGCTCCAAGCACCTCCTTGTCATTGGAAATACCCCAAAGCCTTGTCTTTATCTGTCAACTCCTCCAAAATGTCAAAACACAAAGACGATAACTCTTTCTTAAATTTTCAACCATCAATTTTTTATTCACCCAGCCTAAAAGTCCTGATTATCAGTTCTGGGTCCCTGGCAATGACTGTTGGGTACAAACTGCAAAGCTTTGTTCTGCAGGTAGGGCTGGGCTTTTCATTGACCATGGGTTGGAATAGTTCTGTGGGCATAGTGTGTCTTTGAAGCCACTATGTTTTCTGCACTTGTGACTACAGAGCACCTTGATAGCTCAGTTGGTAGAGCGGTGGACTGTAAGATGCTCCTTGTGTGAAACGCCGTGATCCTAAGGTCGCTGGTTCAACTCCAGCTCCAAGCACCCCCTTGTCATTGGAAATACCCCCAAGCCTTGTCTTTATCTGTCAACTCCTCCAAAATGTCAAAACACAAAGAAGATAACTCTTTCTTAAATTTTCAACCATCAATTTTTTATTCACCCAGCCTAAAAGTCCTGATTATCAGTTCTGGGTCCCTGGCAATGACTGTTGGGTACAAACTGCAAAGCTTTGTTCTGCGGATAGGGCTGGGCTTTTCATTGACCATGGGTTGGAATAGTTCTGTGGGCATAGTGTGTCTTCGAAGCCACTATGTTTTCTGCACTTGTGACTAGAGAGCACCTTGATAGCTCAGTTGGTAGAGCGGTGGACTGTAAGATGCTCCTTGTGTCAAACGCTGTGATCCTAAGGTCGCTGGTTCAACTCCAGCTCCAAGCACCTCCTTGTCATTGGAAATACCCCCAAGCCTTGTCTTTATCTGTCAACTCCTCCAAAATGTCAAAACACAAACAAGATAACTCTTTCTTAAATTTTCAACCATCAATTTTTTATTCGCCCAGCCTAAAAGTCCTGATTATCAGTTCTGGGTCCCTGGCAATGACTGTTGGGTACAAACTGCAAAGCTTTGTTCTGCAGGTAGGGCTGGGCTTTTCATTGACCATGGGTTGGAATAGTTCTGTGGGCATAGTGTGTCTTTGAAGCCACTATGTTTTCTGCACTTGTGACTAGAGAGCACCTTGATAGCTCAGTTGTTAGAGCGGTGGACTGTAAGATGCTCCTTGTGTGAAACGCTGTGATCCTAAGGTCGCTGGTTCAACTCCACCTCCAAGCACCTCCTTGTCATTGGAAATACCCCCAAGCCTTGTCTTTATCTGTCAACTCCTCCAAAATGTCAAAACACAAAGAAGATAACTCTTTCTTAAATTTTCAACCATCAATTTTTTATTCACCCAGACTAAAAGTCCTGATTATCAGTTCTGGGTCCCTGGCAATGACTGTTGGGTACAAACTGCAAAGCTTTGTTCTGCAGGTAGGGCTGGGCTTTTCATTGACCATGGGTTGGAATAGTTCTGTGGGCATAGTGTGTCTTCGAAGCCACTATGTTTTCTGCACTTGTGACTAGAGAGCACCTTGATAGCTCAGTTGGTAGAGCGGTGGACTGTAAGATGCTCCTTGTGTGGAACGCTGTGATCCTAAGGTCGCTGGTTCAACTCCAGCTCCAAGCACCTCCTTTCATTGGAAATACCCCCAAGCCTTGTCTTTATCTGTCAACTCCTCCAAAATGTCAAAACACAAAGAAGATAACTCTTTCTTAAATTTTCAACCATCAATTTTTTATTCGCCCAGACTAAAAGTCCTGATTATCAGTTCTGGGTCCCTGGCAATGACTGTTGGGTACAAACTGCAAAGCTTTGTTCTGCAGGTAGGGCTGGGCTTTTCATTGACCATGGGTTGGAATAGTTCTGTGGGCATAGTGTGTCTTCGAAGCCACTATGTTTTCTGCACTTGTGACTAGAGAGCACCTTGATAGCTCAGTTGGTAGAGCGGTGGACTGTAAGATGCTCCTTGTGTGAAATGCTGTGATCCTAAGGTCGCTGGTTCAACTCCAGCTCCAAGCACCTCCTTGTCATTGGAAATACCCCCAAGCCTTGTCTTTATCTGTCAACTCCTCCAAAATGTCAAAACACAAAGAAGATAACTCTTTCTTAAATTTTCAACCATCAATTTTTTATTCACTCAGCCTAAAAGTCCTGATTATCAGTTCTGGGTCCCTGGCAATGACTGTTGGGTACAAACTGCAAAGCTTTGTTCTGCAGGTAGGGCTGGGCTTTTCATTGACCATGGGTTGGAATAGTTCTGTGGGCATAGTGTGTCTTCGAAGCCACTATGTTTTCTGCACTTGTGACTAGAGAGCACCTTGATAGCTCAGTTGGTAGAGCGGTGGACTGTAAGATGCTCCTTGTGTGAAACGCTGTGATCCTAAGGTTCGCTGGTTCAACTCCAGCTCCAAGCACCTCCTTGTCATTGGAAATACCCCCAAGCCTTGTCTTTATCTGTCAACTCCTCCAAAATGTCAAAACACAAACAAGATAACTCTTTCTTAAATTTTCAACCATCAATGTTTTATTCACCCAGCCTAAAAGTCCTGATTATCAGTTCTGGGTCCCTGGCAATGACTGTTGGGTACAAACTGCAAAGCTTTGTTCTGCAGGTAGGGCTGGGCTTTTCATTGACCATGGGTTGGAATAGTTCTGTGGGCATAGTGTGTCTTCGAAGCCACTATGTTTTCTGCACTTGTGACTAGAGAGCACCTTGATAGCTCAGTTGGTAGAGCGGTGGACTGTAAGATGCTCCTTGTGGGAAACGCCGTGATCCTAAGGTCGCTGGTTCAACTCCAGCTCCAAGCACCTCCTTGTCATTGGAAATACCCCCAAGCCTTGTCTTTATCTGTCAACTCCTCCAAAATGTCAAAACACAAAGAAGATAACTCTTTCTTAAATTTTCAACCATCAATTTTTTATTCACCCAGCCTAAAAGTCCTGATTATCAGTTCTGGGTCCCTGGCAATGACTGTTGGGTACAAACTGCAAAGCTTTGTTCTGCAGGTAGGGCTGGGCTTTTCATTGACCATGGGTTGGAATAGTGCTGTGGGCATAGTGTGTCTTCGAAGCCACTATGTTTTCTGCACTTGTGACTAGAGAGCACCTTGATAGCTCAGTTGGTAGAGCGGTGGACTGTAAGATGCTCCTTGTGTGAAACGCTGTGATCCTAAGTTCGCTGGTTCAACTCCAGCTCCAAGCACCTCCTTGTCATTGGAAATACCCCCAAGCCTTGTCTTTATCTGTCAACTCCTCCAAAATGTCAAAACACAAAGAAGATAACTCTTTCTTAAATTTTCAACCATCAATGTTTTATTCACCCAGCCTAAAAGTCCTGATTATCAGTTCTGGGTCCCTGGCAATGACTGTTGGGTACAAACTGCAAAGCTTTGTTCTGCAGGTAGGGCTGGGCTTTTCATTGACCATGGGTTGGAATAGTTCTGTGGGCATAGTGTGTCTTCGAAGCCACTATGTTTTCTGCACTTGTGACTACAGAGCACCTTGATAGCTCAGTTGGTAGAGCGGTGGACTGTAAGATGCTCCTTGTGTGAAATGCTGTGATCCTAAGGTCGCTGGTTCAACTCCAGCTCCAAGCACCTCCTTGTCATTGGAAATACCCCAAAGCCTTGTCTTTATCTGTCAACTCCTCCAAAATGTCAAAACACAAAGACGATAACTCTTTCTTAAATTTTCAACCATCAATTTTTTATTCACCCAGCCTAAAAGTCCTGATTATCAGTTCTGGGTCCCTGGCAATGACTGTTGGGTACAAACTGCAAAGCTTTGTTCTGCAGGTAGGGCTGGGCTTTTCATTGACCATGGGTTGGAATAGTTCTGTGGGCATAGTGTGTCTTTGAAGCCACTATGTTTTCTGCACTTGTGACTACAGAGCACCTTGATAGCTCAGTTGGTAGAGCGGTGGACTGTAAGATGCTCCTTGTGTGAAACGCCGTGATCCTAAGGTCGCTGGTTCAACTCCAGCTCCAAGCACCTCCTTGTCATTGGAAATACCCCCAAGCCTTGTCTTTATCTGTCAACTCCTCCAAAATGTCAAAACACAAAGAAGATAACTCTTTCTTAAATTTTCAACCATCAATTTTTTATTCACCCAGCCTAAAAGTCCTGATTATCAGTTCTGGGTCCCTGGCAATGACTGTTGGGTACAAACTGCAAAGCTTTGTTCTGCGGATAGGGCTGGGCTTTTCATTGACCATGGGTTGGAATAGTTCTGTGGGCATAGTGTGTCTTCGAAGCCACTATGTTTTCTGCACTTGTGACTAGAGAGCACCTTGATAGCTCAGTTGGTAGAGCGGTGGACTGTAAGATGCTCCTTGTGTCAAACGCTGTGATCCTAAGGTCGCTGGTTCAACTCCAGCTCCAAGCACCTCCTTGTCATTGGAAATACCCCAAAGCCTTGTCTTTATCTGTCAACTCCTCCAAAATGTCAAAACACAAAGAAGATAACTCTTTCTTAAATTTTCAACCATCAATTTTTTATTCACCCAGCCTAAAAGTCCTGATTATCAGTTCTGGGTCCCTGGCAATGACTGTTGGGTACAAACTGCAAAGCTTTGTTCTGCAGGTAGGGCTGGGCTTTTCATTGACCATGGGTTGGAATAGTTCTGTGGGCATAGTGTGTCTTCGAAGCCACTATGTTTTCTGCACTTGTGACTAGAGAGCACCTTGATAGCTCAGTTGGTAGAGCGGTGGACTGTAAGATGCTCCTTGTGGGAAACGCCGTGATCCTAAGTTCGCTGGTTCAACTCCAGCTCCAAGCACCTCCTTGTCATTGGAAATACCCCAAAGCCTTGTCTTTATCTGTCAACTCCTCCAAAATGTCAAAACACAAACAAGATAACTCTTTCTTAAATTTTCAACCATCAATTTTTTATTCACCCAGACTAAAAGTCCTGATTATCAGTTCTGGGTCCCTGGCAATGACTGTTGGGTACAAACTGCAAAGCTTTGTTCTGCAGGTAGGGCTGGGCTTTTAATTGACCATGGGTTGGAATAGTTCTGTGGGCATAGTGTGTCTTCGAAGCCACTATGTTTTCTGCACTTGTGACTAGAGAGCACCTTGATAGCTCAGTTGGTAGAGCGGTGAACTGTAAGATGCTCCTTGTGTGAAACGCTGTGATCCTCAGGTCGCTGGTTAAACTCCAGCTCCAAGCACCTCCTTGTCATTGGAAATACCCCCAAGCCTTGTCTTTATCTGTCAACTCCTCCAAAATGTCAAAACACAAAGAAGATTACTCTTTCTTAAATTTTCAACCATCAATTTTTTATTCACCCAGCCTAAAAGTCCTGATTATCAGTTCTGGGTCCCTGGCAATGACTGTTGGGTACAAACTGCAAAGCTTTGTTCTGCAGGTAGGGCTGGGCTTTTCATTGACCATGGGTTGGAATAGTTCTGTGGGCATAGTGTGTCTTCGAAGCCACTATGTTTTCTGCACTTGTGACTAGAGAGCACCTTGATAGCTCAGTTGGTAGAGCGGTGGACTGTAAGATGCTCCTTGTGTGAAACGCTGTGATCCTAAGGTCGCTGGTTCAACTCCAGCTCCAAGCACCTCCTTGTCATTGGAAATACCCCAAAGCCTTGTCTTTATCTGTCAACTCCTCCAAAATGTCAAAACACAAAGAAGATAACTCTTTCTTAAATTTTCAACCATCAATGTTTTATTCACCCAGTCTAAAAGTCCTGATTATCAGTTCTGGGTCCCTGGCAATGACTGTTGGGTACAAACTGCAAAGCTTTGTTCTGCAGGTAGGGCTGGGCTTTTCATTGACCATGGGTTGGAATAGTTCTGTGGGCATAGTGTGTCTTCGAAACCACTATGTTTTCTGCACTTGTGACTAGAGAGCACTTTGATAGCTCAGTTGGTAGAGCGGTGCACTGTAAGATGCTCCTTGTGTGAAACGCTGTGATCCTAAGGTCGCTGGTTCAACTCCAGCTCCAAGCACCTCCTTGTCATTGGAAATACCCCCAAGCCTTGTCTTTATCTGTCAACTCCTCCAAAATGTCAAAACACAAAGAAGATAACTCTTTCTTAAATTTTCAACCATCAATGTTTTATTCACCCAGCCTAAAAGTCCTGATTATCAGTTCTGGGTCCCTGGCAATGACTGTTGGGTACAAACTGCAAAGCTTTGTTCTGCAGGTAGGGCTGGGCTTTTCATTGACCATGGGTTGGAATAGTTCTGTGGGCATAGTGTGTCTTCGAAGCCACTATGTTTTCTGCACTTGCGACTAGAGAGCACCTTGATAGAGAGCGGTGGACTGTAAGATGCTCCTTGTGTGAAACGCTGTGATCCTAAGGTCGCTGGTTCAACTCCAGCTCCAAGCACCTCCTTGTCATTGGAAATACCCCCAAGCCTTGTCTTTATCTGTCAACTCCTCCAAAATGTCAAAACACAAAGAAGATAACTCTTTCTTAAATTTTCAACCATCAATGTTTTATTCACCCAGCCTAAAAGTCCTGATTATCAGTTCTGGGTCCCTGGCAATGACTGTTGGGTACAAACTGCAAAGCTTTGTTCTGCAGGTAGGGCTGGGCTTTTCATTGACCATGGGTTGGAATAGTTCTGTGGGCATAGTGTGTCTTCGAGGCCACTATGTTTTCTGCACTTGTGACTAGAGAGCACCTTGATAGCTCAGTTGGTAGAGCGGTGGACTGTAAGATGCTCCTTGTGTGAAACGCTGTGATCCTAAGTTCGCTGGTTCAACTCCAGCTCCAAGCACCTCCTTGTCATTGGAAATACCCCCAAGCCTTTTCTTTATCTGTCAACTCCTCCAAAATGTCAAAACACAAAGAAGATAACTCTTTCTTAAATTTTCAACCATCAATGTTTTATTCACCCAGTCTAAAAGTCCTGATTATAAGTTCTGGGTCCCTGGCAATGACTGTTGGGTACAAACTGCAAAGCTTTGTTCTGCAGGTAGGGCTGGGCTTTTCATTGACCATGGGTTGGAATAGTTCTGTGGGCATAGTGTGTCTTCGAAGCCACTATGTTTTCTGCACTTGTGACTAGAGAGCACTTTGATAGCTCAGTTGGTAGAGCGGTGCACTGTAAGATGCTCCTTGTGTGAAACGCTGTGATCCTAAGTTCGCTGGTTCAACTCCAGCTCCAAGCACCTCCTTGTCATTGGAAATACCCCCAAGCCTTTTCTTTATCTGTCAACTCCTCCAAAATGTCAAAACACAAAGAAGATAACTCTTTCTTAAATTTTCAACCATCAATGTTTTATTCACCCAGTCTAAAAGTCCTGATTATAAGTTCTGGGTCCCTGGCAATGACTGTTGGGTACAAACTGCAAAGCTTTGTTCTGCAGGTAGGGCTGGGCTTTTCATTGACCATGGGTTGGAATAGTTCTGTGGGCATAGTGTGTCTTCGAAGCCACTATGTTTTCTGCACTTGTGACTAGAGAGCACTTTGATAGCTCAGTTGGTAGAGCGGTGCACTGTAAGATGCTCCTTGTGTGAAACGCTGTGATCCTAAGTTCGCTGGTTCAACTCCAGCTCCAAGCACCTCCTTGTCATTGGAAATACCCCCAAGCCTTGTCTTTATCTGTCAACTCCTCCAAAATGTCAAAACACAAAGAAGATAACTCTTTCTTAAATTTTCAACCATCAATGTTTTATTCACCCAGTCTAAAAGTCCTGATTATCAGTTCTGGGTCCCTGGCAATGACTGTTGGGTACAAACTGCAAAGCTTTGTTCTGCAGGTAGGGCTGGGCTTTTCATTGACCATGGGTTGGAATAGTTCTGTGGGCATAGTGTGTCTTCGAAGCCACTATGTTTTCTGCACTTGTGACTAGAGAGCACCTTGATAGCTCAGTTGGTAGAGCGGTTGACTGTAAGATGCTCCTTGTGTGAAACGCTGTGATCCTAAGGTCGCTGGTTCAACTCCAGCTCCAAGCACCTCCTTGTCATTGGAAATACCCCCAAGCCTTGTCTTTATCTGTCAACTCCTCCAAAATGTCAAAACACAAAGAAGATAACTCTTTCTTAAATTTTCAACCATCAATGTTTTATTCACCCAGTCTAAAAGTCCTGATTATCAGTTCTGGGTCCCTGGCAATGACTGTTGGGTACAAACTGCAAAGCTTTGTTCTGCAGGTAGGGCTGGGCTTTTCATTGACCATGGGTTGGAATAGTTCTGTGGGCATAGTGTGTCTTCGAAGTCACTATGTTTTCTGCACTTGTGACTAGAGAGCACCTTGATAGCTCAGTTGGTAGAGCGGTGGACTGTAAGATGCTCCTTGTGTGAAACGCTGTGATCCTAAGGTCGCTGGTTCAACTCCAGCTCCAAGCACCTCCTTGTCATTGGAAATACCCCCAAGCCTTGTCTTTATCTGTCAACTCCTCCAAAATGTCAAAACACAAAGAAGATAACTCTTGCTTAAATTTTCAACCATCAATGTTTTATTCACCCAGCCTAAAAGTCCTGATTATCAGTTCTGGGTCCCTGGCAATGACTGTTGGGTACAAACTGCAAAGCTTTGTTCTGCAGGTAGGGCTGGGCTTTTCATTGACCATGGGTTGGAATAGTTCTGTGGGCATAGTGTGTCTTCGAAGCCACTATGTTTTCTGCACTTGTGACTAGAGAGCACCTTGATAGCTCAGTTGGTAGAGCGGTGGACTGTAAGATGCTCCTTGTGTGAAACGCTGTGATCCTAAGGTCGCTGGTTCAACTCCAGCTCCAAGCACCTCCTTGTCATTGGAAATACCCCCAAGCCTTGTCTTTATCTGTCAACTCCTCCAAAATGTCAAAACACAAAGAAGATAACTCTTGCTTAAATTTTCAACCATCAATGTTTTATTCACCCAGCCTAAAAGTCCTGATTATCAGTTCTGGGTCCCTGGCAATGACTGTTGGGTACAAACTGCAAAGCTTTGTTCTGCAGGTAGGGCTGGGCTTTTCATTGACCATGGGTTGGAATAGTTCTGTGGGCATAGTGTGTCTTCGAAGCCACTATGTTTTCTGCACTTGTGACTAGAGAGCACCTTGATAGCTCAGTTGGTAGAGCGGTGGACTGTAAGATGCTCCTTGTGTGAAACGCTGTGATCCTAAGGTCGCTGGTTCAACTCCAGCTCCAAGCACCTCCTTGTCATTGGAAATACCCCCAAGCCTTGTCTTTATCTGTCAACTCCTCCAAAATGTCAAAACACAAAGAAGATAACTCTTTCTTAAATTTTCAACCATCAATGTTTTATTCACCCAGCCTAAAAGTCCTGATTATCAGTTCTGGGTCCCTGGCAATGACTGTTGGGTACAAACTGCAAAGCTTTGTTCTGCAGGTAGGGCTGGGCTTTTCATTGACCATGGGTTGGAATAGTTCTGTGGGCATAGTGTGTCTTCGAAGCCACTATGTTTTCTGCACTTGTGACTAGAGAGCACCTTGATAGCTCAGTCGTTAGAGCGGTGGACTGTAAGATGCTCCTTGTGTCAAACGCAGTGATCCTAAGGTCGCTGGTTCAACTCCAGCTCCAAGCACCTCCTTGTCATTGGAAATACCCCCAAGCCTTGTCTTTATCTGTCAACTCCTCCAAAATGTCAAAACACAAACAAGATAACTCTTTCTTAAATTTTCAACCATCAATTTTTTATTCACCCAGCCTAAAAGTCCTGATTATCAGTTCTGGCTCCCTGGCAATGACTGTTGGGTACAAACTGCAAATCTTTGTTCTGCAGGTAGGGCTGGGCTTTTCATTGACCATGGGTTGGAATAGTTCTGTGGGCATAGTGTGTCTTCGAAGCCACTATGTTTTCTGCACTTGTGACTAGAGAGCACCTTGATAGCTCAGTTGGTAGAGCGGTGGACTGTAAGATGCTCCTTGTGTCAAACGCCGTGATCCTAAGGTCGCTGGTTCAACTCCATCTCCAAGCAGCTCCTTGTCATTGGAAATACCCCCAAGCCTTGTCTTTATCTGTCAACTCCTCCAAAATGTCAAAACACAAACAAGATAACTCTTTCTTAAATTTTCAACCATCAATTTTTTATTCACCCAGCCTAAAAGTCCTGATTATCAGTTCTGGGTCCCTGGCAATGACTGTTGGGTAAAAACTGCAAAGCTTTGTTCTGCAGGTAGGGCTGGGCTTTTCATTGACCATGGGTTGGAATAGTTCTGTGGGCATAGTGTGTCTTCGAAGCCACTATGTTTTCTGCACTTGTGACTAGAGAGCACCTTGATAGCTCAGTTGGTAGAGCGGTGGACTGTAAGATGCTCCTTGTGTGAAACGCTGTGATCCTAAGGTCGTTGGTTCAACTCCAGCTCCAAGCACCTCCTTGTCATTGGAAATACCCCCAAGCCTTGTCTTTATCTGTCAACTCCTCCAAAATGTCAAAACACAAAGAAGATAACTCTTTCTTAAATTTTCAACCATCAATTTTTTATTCACCCAGCCTAAAAGTCCTGATTATCAGTTCTGGGTCCCTGGCAATGACTGTTGGGTACAAACTGCAAATCTTTGTTCTGCAGGTAGGGCTGGGCTTTTCATTGACCATGGGTTGGAATAGTTCTGTGGGCATAGTGTGTCTTCGAAGCCACTATGTTTTCTGCACTTGTGACTAGAGAGCACCTTGATAGCTCAGTTTGTAGAGCGGTGGACTGTAAGATGCTCCTTGTGTGAAACGCTGTGATCCTAAGGTCGCTGGTTCAACTCCAGCTCCAAGCACCTCCTTGTCATTGGAAATACCCCAAAGCCTTGTCTTTATCTGTCAACTCCTCCAAAATGTCAAAACACAAAGAAGATAACTCTTTCTTAAATTTTCAACCATCAATTTTTTATTCACCCAGCCTAAAAGTCCTGATTATCAGTTCTGGGTCCCTGGCAATGACTGTTGGGTACAAACTGCAAAGCTTTGTTCTGCAGGTAGGGCTGGGCTTTTCATTGACCATGGGTTGGAATAGTTCTGTGGGCATAGTGTGTCTTCGAAGCCACTATGTTTTCTGCACTTGTGACTAGAGAGCACCTTGATAGCTCAGTTGGTAGAGCGGTGGACTGTAAGATGCTCCTTGTGTCAAACGCCGTGATCCTAAGGTCGCTGGTTCAACTCCATCTCCAAGCAGCTCCTTGTCATTGGAAATACCCCCAAGCCTTGTCTTTATCTGTCAACTCCTCCAAAATGTCAAAACACAAAGAAGATAACTCTTTCTTAAATTTTCAACCATCAATTTTTTATTCACCCAGCCTAAAAGTCCTGATTATCAGTTCTGGGTCCCTGGCAATGACTGTTGGGTACAAACTGCAAAGCTTTGTTCTGCAGGTAGGGCTGGGCTTTTCATTGACCATGGGTTGGAATAGTTCTGTGGGCATAGTGTGTCTTCGAAGCCACTATGTTTTCTGCACTTGTGACTAGAGAGCACCTTGATAGCTCAGTTGGTAGAGCGGTGGACTGTAAGATGCTCCTTGTGTCAAACGCCGTGATCCTAAGGTCGCTGGTTCAACTCCATCTCCAAGCAGCTCCTTGTCATTGGAAATACCCCCAAGCCTTGTCTTTATCTGTCAACTCCTCCAAAATGTCAAAACACAAAGAAGATAACTCTTTCTTAAATTTTCAACCATCAATGTTTTATTCACCCAGCCTAAAAGTCCTGATTATCAGTTCTGGGTCCCTGGCAATGACTGTTGGGTACAAACTGCAAAGCTTTGTTCTGCAGGTAGGGCTGGGCTTTTCATTGACCATGGGTTGGAATAGTTCTGTGGGCATAGTGTGTCTTCGAAGCCACTATGTTTTCTGCACTTGTGACTAGAGAGCACCTTGATAGCTCAGTCGTTAGAGCGGTGGACTGTAAGATGCTCCTTGTGTGAAACGCAGTGATCCTAAGGTCGCTGGTTCAACTCCAGCTCCAAGCACCTCCTTGTCATTCGAAATACCCCCAAGCCTTGTCTTTATCTGTCAACTCCTCCAAAATGTCAAAACACAAACAAGATAACTCTTTCTTAAATTTTCAACCATCAATTTTTTATTCACCCAGCCTAAAAGTCCTGATTATCAGTTCTGGGTCCCTGGCAATGACTGTTGGGTACAAACTGCAAATCTTTGTTCTGCAGGTAGGGCTGGGCTTTTCATTGACCATGGGTTGGAATAGTTCTGTGGGCATAGTGTGTCTTCGAAGCCACTATGTTTTCTGCACTTGTGACTAGAGAGCACCTTGATAGCTCAGTTTGTAGAGCGGTGGACTGTAAGATGCTCCTTGTGTGAAACGCTGTGATCCTAAGGTCTCTGGTTCAACTCCAGCTCCAAGCACCTCCTTGTCATTGGAAATACCCCCAAGCCTTGTCTTTATCTTTCAACTCCTCCAAAATGTCAAAACACAAAGAAGATAACTCTTTCTTAAATTTTCAACCATCAATTTTTTATTCACCCAGCCTAAAAGTCCTGATTATCAGTTCTGGGTCCCTGGCAATGACTGTTGGGTACAAACTGCAAAGCTTTGTTCTGCAGGTAGGGCTGGGCTTTTCATTGACCATGGGTTGGAATAGTTCTGTGGGCATAGTGTGTCTACGAAGCCACTATGTTTTCTGCACTTGTGACTAGAGAGCACCTTGATAGCTCAGTTGGTAGAGCGGTGGACTGTAAGATGCTCCTTGTGTGAAACGCTGTGATCCTAAGGTCGCTGGTTCAACTCCAGCTCCAAGCAGCTCCTTGTCATTGTAAATACCCCCAAGCCTTGTCTTTATCTGTCAACTCCTCCAAAATGTCAAAACACAAAGAAGATAACTCTTTCTTAAATTTTCAACCATCAATTTTTTATTCACCCAGCCTAAAAGTCCTGATTATCAGTTCTGGGTCCCTGGCAATGACTGTTGGGTACAAACTGCAAAGCTTTGTTCTGCAGGTAGGGCTGGGCTTTTCATTGACCATGGGTTGGAATAGTTCTGTGGGCATAGTGTGTCTACGAAGCCACTATGTTTTCTGCACTTGTGACTAGAGAGCACCTTGATAGCTCAGTTGGTAGAGCGGTGGACTGTAAGATGCTCCTTGTGTGAAACGCTGTGATCCTAAGGTCGCTGGTTCAACTCCAGCTCCAAGCACCTCCTTGTCATTGGAAATACCCCAAAGCCTTGTCTTTATCTGTCAACTCCTCCAAAATGTCAAAACACAAATAAGATAACTCTTTCTTAAATTTTCAACCATCAATTTTTTATTCACCCAGCCTAAAAGTCCTGATTATCAGTTCTGGGTCCCTGGCAATGACTGTTGGGCACAAACTGCAAAGCTTTGTTCTGCAGGTAGGGCTGGGCTTTTCATTGACCATGGGTTGGAATATTTCTGTGGGCATAGTGTGTCTTCGAAGCCACTAAGTTTTCTGCACTTGTGACTAGAGAGCACCTTGATAGCTCAGTTGGTAGAGCGGTGGACTGTAAGATGCTCCTTGTGTGAAACGCTGTGATCCTAAGGTCGCTGGTTCAACTCCAGCTCCAAGCACCTCCTTGTCATTGGAAATACCCCCAAGCCTTGTCTTTATCTGTCAACTCCTCCAAAATGTCAAAACACAAACAAGATAACTCTATCTTAAATTTTCAACCATCAATTTTTTATTCACCCAGCCTAAAAGTCCTGATTATCAGTTCTGGGTCCCTGGCAATGACTGTTGGGTACAAACTGCAAAGCTTTGTTCTGCAGGTAGGGCTGGGCTTTTCATTGACCATGGGTTGGAATAGTGCTGTGGGCATAGTGTGTCTTCGAAGCCACTATGTTTTCTGCACTTGTGACTAGAGAGCACTTTGATAGCTCAGTTGGTAGAGCGGTGCACTGTAAGATGCTCCTTGTGTGAAACGCTGTGATCCTAAGTTCGCTGGTTCAACTCCAGCTCCAAGCACCTCCTTGTCATTGGAAATACCCCCAAGCCTTGTCTTTATCTGTCAACTCCTCCAAAATGTCAAAACACAAAGAAGATAACTCTTTCTTAAATTTTCAACCATCAATTTTTTATTCACCCAGCCTAAAAGTCCTGATTATCAGTTCTGGGTCCCTGGCAATGACTGTTGGGTACAAACTGCAAAGCTTTGTTCTGCAGGTAGGGCTGGGCTTTTCATTGACCATGGGTTGGAATAGTTCTGTGGGTATAGTGTGTCTTCGAAGCCACTATGTTTTCTGCACTTGTGACTAGAGAGCACCTTGATAGCTCAGTTGGTAGAGCGGTGGACTGTAAGATGCTCCTTGTGTCAAACGCCGTGATCCTAAGGTGGCTGGTTCAACTCCATCTCCAAGCAGCTCCTTGTCATTGGAAATACCCCCAAGCCTTGTCTTTATCTGTCAACTCCTCCAAAATGTCAAAACACAAAGAAGATAACTCTTTCTTAAATTTTCAACCATCAATTTTTTATTCACCCAGCCTAAAAGTCCTGATTATCAGTTCTGGGTCCCTGGCAATGACTGTTGGGTACAAACTGCAAAGCTTTGTTCTGCAGGTAGGGCTGGGCTTTTCATTGACCATGGGTTGGAATAGTTCTGTGGGCATAGTGTGTCTTCGAAGCCACTATGTTTTCTGCACTTGTGACTAGAGAGCACCTTGATAGCTCAGTCGTTAGAGCGGTGGACTGTAAGATGCTCCTTGTGTGAAACGCAGTGATCCTAAGGTCGCTGGTTCAACTCCAGCTCCAAGCACCTCCTTGTCATTGGAAATACCCCCAAGCCTTGTCTTTATCTGTCAACTCCTCCAAAATGTCAAAACACAAACAAGATAACTCTTTCTTAAATTTTCAACCATCAATTTTTTATTCACCCAGCCTAAAAGTCCTGATTATCAGTTCTGGGTCCCTGGCAATGACTGTTGGGTACAAACTGCAAATCTTTGTTCTGCAGGTAGGGCTGGGCTTTTCATTGACCATGGGTTGGAATAGTTCTGTGGGCATAGTGTGTCTTCGAAGCCACTATGTTTTCTGCACTTGTGACTAGAGAGCACCTTGATAGCTCAGTTGGTAGAGCGGTGGACTGTAAGATGCTCCTTGTGTCAAACGCCGTGATCCTAAGGTCGCTGGTTCAACTCCAGCTCCAAGCAGCTCCTTGTAATTGGAAATACCCCCAAGCCTTGTCTTTATCTGTCAACTCCTCCAAAATGTCAAAACACAAAGAAGATAACTCTTTCTTAAATTTTCAACCATCAATTTTTTATTCACCCAGCCTAAAAGTCCTGATTATCAGTTCTGGGTCCCTGGCAATGACTGTTGGGTACAAACTGCAAAGCTTTGTTCTTCAGGTAGGGCTGGGCTTTTCATTGACCATGGGTTGGAATAGTTCTGTGGGCATAGTGTGTCTTCGAAGCCACTATGTTTTCTGCACTTGTGACTAGAGAGCACCTTGATAGCTCAGTTTGTAGAGCGGTGGACTGTAAGATGCTCCTTGTGTGAAACGCTGTGATCCTAAGGTCTCTGGTTCAACTCCAGCTCCAAGCACCTCCTTGTCATTGGAAATACCCCCAAGCCTTGTCTTTATCTTTCAACTCCTCCAAAATGTCAAAACACAAAGAAGATAACTCTTTCTTAAATTTTCAACCATCAATTTTTTATTCACCCAGCCTAAAAGTCCTGATTATCAGTTCTGGGTCCCTGGCAATGACTGTTGGGTACAAACTGCAAAGCTTTGTTCTGCAGGTAGGGCTGGGCTTTTCATTGACCATGGGTTGGAATAGTTCTGTGGGCATAGTGTGTCTACGAAGCCACTATGTTTTCTGCACTTGTGACTAGAGAGCACCTTGATAGCTCAGTTGGTAGAGCGGTGGACTGTAAGATGCTCCTTGTGTGAAACGCTGTGATCCTAAGGTGGCTGGTTCAACTCCAGCTCCAAGCACCTCCTTGTCATTGGAAATACCCCCAAGCCTTGTCTTTATCTGTCAACTCCTCCAAAATGTCAAAACACAAACAAGATAACTCTATCTTAAATTTTCAACCATCAATTTTTTATTCACCCAGCCTAAAAGTCCTGATTATCAGTTCTGGGTCCCTGGCAATGACTGTTGGGTACAAACTGCAAAGCTTTGTTCTGCAGGTAGGGCTGGGCTTTTCATTGACCATGGGTTGGAATAGTGCTGTGGGCATAGTGTGTCTTCGAAGCCACTATGTTTTCTGCACTTGTGACTAGAGAGCACCTTGATAGCTCAGTTGGTAGAGCGGTGGACTGTAAGATGCTCCTTGTGTGAAACGCTGTGATCCTAAGGTGGCTGGTTCAACTCCAGCTCCAAGCACCTCCTTGTCATTGGAAATACCCCAAGCCTTGTCTTTATCTGTCAACTCCTCCAAAATGTCAAAACACAAAGAAGATAACTCTTTCTTAAATTTTCAACCATCAATGTTTTATTCACCCAGCCTAAAAGTCCTGATTATCAGTTCTGGGTCCCTGGCAATGACTGTTGGGTACAAACTGCAAAGCTTTGTTCTGCAGGTAGGGCTGGGCTTTTCATTGACCATGGGTTGGAATAGTTCTGTGGGCATAGTGTGTCTTCGAAGCCACTATGTTTTCTGCACTTGTGACTAGAGAGCACCTTGATAGCTCAGTTGGTAGAGCGGTGGACTGTAAGATGCTCCTTGTGTGAAACGCTGTGATCCTAAGGTGGCTGGTTCAACTCCAGCTCCAAGCACCTCCTTGTCATTGGAAATACCCCCAAGCCTTGTCTTTATCTGTCAACTCCTCCAAAATGTCAAAACACAAAGAAGATAACTCTTTCTTAAATTTTCAACCATCAATGTTTTATTCACCCAGCCTAAAAGTCCTGATTATCAGTTCTGGGTCCCTGGCAATGACTGTTGGGTACAAACTGCAAAGCTTTGTTCTGCAGGTAGGGCTGGGCTTTTCATTGACCATGGGTTGGAATAGTTCTGTGGGCATAGTGTGTCTTCGAGGCCACTATGTTTTCTGCACTTGTGACTACAGAGCACCTTGATAGCTCAGTTGGTAGAGCGGTGGACTGTAAGATGCTCCTTGTGTGAAACGCCGTGATCCTAAGGTCGCTGGTTCAACTCCAGCTCCAAGCACCTCCTTGTCATTGGAAATACCCCCAAGCCTTGTCTTTATCTGTCAACTCCTCCAAAATGTCAAAACACAAAGAAGATAACTCTTTCTTAAATTTTCAACCATCAATTTTTTATTCACCCAGCCTAAAAGTCCTGATTATCAGTTCTGGGTCCCTGGCAATGACTGTTGGGTACAAACTGCAAAGCTTTGTTCTGCAGGTAGGGCTGGGCTTTTCATTGACCATGGGTTGGAATAGTTCTGTGGGCATAGTGTGTCTACGAAGCCACTATGTTTTCTGCACTTGTGACTAGAGAGCACCTTGATAGCTCAGTTGGTAGAGCGGTGGACTGTAAGATGCTCCTTGTGTGAAACGCTGTGATCCTAAGGTCGCTGGTTCAACTCCAGCTCCAAGCAGCTCCTTGTCATTGGAAATACCCCCAAGCCTTGTCTTTATCTGTCAACTCCTCCAAAATGTCAAAACACAAAGAAGATAACTCTTTCTTAAATTTTCAACCATCAATTTTTTATTCACCCAGCCTAAAAGTCCTGATTATCAGTTCTGGGTCCCTGGCAATGACTGTTGGGTACAAACTGCAAAGCTTTGTTCTGCAGGTAGGGCTGGGCTTTTCATTGACCATGGGTTGGAATAGTTCTGTGGGCATAGTGTGTCTACGAAGCCACTATGTTTTCTGCACTTGTGACTAGAGAGCACCTTGATAGCTCAGTTGGTAGAGCGGTGGACTGTAAGATGCTCCTTGTGTGAAACGCTGTGATCCTAAGGTCGCTGGTTCAACTCCAGCTCCAAGCACCTCCTTGTCATTGGAAATACCCCAAAGCCTTGTCTTTATCTGTCAACTCCTCCAAAATGTCAAAACACAAATAAGATAACTCTTTCTTAAATTTTCAACCATCAATTTTTTATTCACCCAGCCTAAAAGTCCTGATTATCAGTTCTGGGTCCCTGGCAATGACTGTTGGGCACAAACTGCAAAGCTTTGTTCTGCAGGTAGGGCTGGGCTTTTCATTGACCATGGGTTGGAATATTTCTGTGGGCATAGTGTGTCTTCGAAGCCACTATGTTTTCTGCACTTGTGACTAGAGAGCACCTTGATAGCTCAGTTGGTAGAGCGGTGGACTGTAAGATGCTCCTTGTGTGAAACGCTGTGATCCTAAGGTCGCTGGTTCAACTCCAGCTCCAAGCACCTCCTTGTCATTGGAAATACCCCCAAGCCTTGTCTTTATCTGTCAACTCCTCCAAAATGTCAAAACACAAACAAGATAACTCTATCTTAAATTTTCAACCATCAATTTTTTATTCACCCAGCCTAAAAGTCCTGATTATCAGTTCTGGGTCCCTGGCAATGACTGTTGGGTACAAACTGCAAAGCTTTGTTCTGCAGGTAGGGCTGGGCTTTTCATTGACCATGGGTTGGAATAGTTGCTGTGGGCATAGTGTGTCTTCGAAGCCACTATGTTTTCTGCACTTGTGACTAGAGAGCACCTTGATAGCTCAGTTGGTAGAGCGGTGGACTGTAAGATGCTCCTTGTGTGAAACGCTGTGATCCTAAGGTGGCTGGTTCAACTCCAGCTCCAAGCACCTCCTTGTCATTGGAAATACCCCAAGCCTTGTCTTTATCTGTCAACTCCTCCAAAATGTCAAAACACAAAGAAGATAACTCTTTCTTAAATTTTCAACCATCAATGTTTTATTCACCCAGCCTAAAAGTCCTGATTATCAGTTCTGGGTCCCTGGCAATGACTGTTGGGTACAAACTGCAAAGCTTTGTTCTGCAGGTAGGGCTGGGCTTTTCATTGACCATGGGTTGGAATAGTTCTGTGGGCATAGTGTGTCTTCGAAGCCACTATGTTTTCTGCACTTGTGACTAGAGAGCACCTTGATAGCTCAGTTGGTAGAGCGGTGGACTGTAAGATGCTCCTTGTGTGAAACGCTGTGATCCTAAGGTGGCTGGTTCAACTCCAGCTCCAAGCACCTCCTTGTCATTGGAAATACCCCCAAGCCTTGTCTTTATCTGTCAACTCCTCCAAAATGTCAAAACACAAAGAAGATAACTCTTTCTTAAATTTTCAACCATCAATGTTTTATTCACCCAGCCTAAAAGTCCTGATTATCAGTTCTGGGTCCCTGGCAATGACTGTTGGGTACAAACTGCAAAGCTTTGTTCTGCAGGTAGGGCTGGGCTTTTCATTGACCATGGGTTGGAATAGTTCTGTGGGCATAGTGTGTCTTCGAGGCCACTATGTTTTCTGCACTTGTGACTACAGAGCACCTTGATAGCTCAGTTGGTAGAGCGGTGGACTGTAAGATGCTCCTTGTGTGAAACGCCGTGATCCTAAGGTCGCTGGTTCAACTCCAGCTCCAAGCACCTCCTTGTCATTGGAAATACCCCCAAGCCTTGTCTTTATCTGTCAACTCCTCCAAAATGTCAAAACACAAAGAAGATAACTCTTTCTTAAATTTTCAACCATCAATTTTTTATTCACCCAGCCTAAAAGTCCTGATTATCAGTTCTGGGTCCCTGGCAATGACTGTTGGGTACAAACTGCAAAGCTTTGTTCTGCAGGTAGGGCTGGGCTTTTCATTGACCATGGGTTGGAATAGTTCTGTGGGCATAGTGTGTCTACGAAGCCACTATGTTTTCTGCACTTGTGACTAGAGAGCACCTTGATAGCTCAGTTGGTAGAGCGGTGGACTGTAAGATGCTCCTTGTGTGAAACGCTGTGATCCTAAGGTCGCTGGTTCAACTCCAGCTCCAAGCAGCTCCTTGTCATTGTAAATACCCCCAAGCCTTGTCTTTATCTGTCAACTCCTCCAAAATGTCAAAACACAAAGAAGATAACTCTTTCTTAAATTTTCAACCATCAATTTTTTATTCACCCAGCCTAAAAGTCCTGATTATCAGTTCTGGGTCCCTGGCAATGACTGTTGGGTACAAACTGCAAAGCTTTGTTCTGCAGGTAGGGCTGGGCTTTTCATTGACCATGGGTTGGAATAGTTCTGTGGGCATAGTGTGTCTACGAAGCCACTATGTTTTCTGCACTTGTGACTAGAGAGCACCTTGATAGCTCAGTTGGTAGAGCGGTGGACTGTAAGATGCTCCTTGTGTGAAACGCTGTGATCCTAAGGTCGCTGGTTCAACTCCAGCTCCAAGCACCTCCTTGTCATTGGAAATACCCCAAAGCCTTGTCTTTATCTGTCAACTCCTCCAAAATGTCAAAACACAAATAAGATAACTCTTTCTTAAATTTTCAACCATCAATTTTTTATTCACCCAGCCTAAAAGTCCTGATTATCAGTTCTGGGTCCCTGGCAATGACTGTTGGGCACAAACTGCAAAGCTTTGTTCTGCAGGTAGGGCTGGGCTTTTCATTGACCATGGGTTGGAATATTTCTGTGGGCATAGTGTGTCTTCGAAGCCACTATGTTTTCTGCACTTGTGACTAGAGAGCACCTTGATAGCTCAGTTGGTAGAGCGGTGGACTGTAAGATGCTCCTTGTGTGAAACGCTGTGATCCTAAGGTGGCTGGTTCAACTCCAGCTCCAAGCACCTCCTTGTCATTGGAAATACCCCCAAGCCTTGTCTTTATCTGTCAACTCCTCCAAAATGTCAAAACACAAACAAGATAACTCTATCTTAAATTTTCAACCATCAATTTTTTATTCACCCAGCCTAAAAGTCCTGATTATCAGTTCTGGGTCCCTGGCAATGACTGTTGGGTACAAACTGCAAAGCTTTGTTCTGCAGGTAGGGCTGGGCTTTTCATTGACCATGGGTTGGAATAGTTCTGTGGGCATAGTGTGTCTTCGAAGCCACTATGTTTTCTGCACTTGTGACTAGAGAGCACCTTGATAGCTCAGTTGGTAGAGCGGTGGACTGTAAGATGCTCCTTGTGTGAAACGCTGTGATCCTAAGGTGGCTGGTTCAACTCCAGCTCCAAGCACCTCCTTGTCATTGGAAATACCCCCAAGCCTTGTCTTTATCTGTCAACTCCTCCAAAATGTCAAAACACAAAGAAGATAACTCTTTCTTAAATTTTCAACCATCAATGTTTTATTCACCCAGCCTAAAAGTCCTGATTATCAGTTCTGGGTCCCTGGCAATGACTGTTGGGTACAAACTGCAAAGCTTTGTTCTGCAGGTAGGGCTGGGCTTTTCATTGACCATGGGTTGGAATAGTTCTGTGGGCATAGTGTGTCTTCGAGGCCACTATGTTTTCTGCACTTGTGACTACAGAGCACCTTGATAGCTCAGTTGGTAGAGCGGTGGACTGTAAGATGCTCCTTGTGTGAAACGCCGTGATCCTAAGGTCGCTGGTTCAACTCCAGCTCCAAGCAGCTCCTTGTCATTGTAAATACCCCCAAGCCTTGTCTTTATCTGTCAACTCCTCCAAAATGTCAAAACACAAAGAAGATAACTCTTTCTTAAATTTTCAACCATCAATTTTTTATTCACCCAGCCTAAAAGTCCTGATTATCAGTTCTGGGTCCCTGGCAATGACTGTTGGGTACAAACTGCAAAGCTTTGTTCTGCAGGTAGGGCTGGGCTTTTCATTGACCATGGGTTGGAATAGTTCTGTGGGCATAGTGTGTCTACGAAGCCACTATGTTTTCTGCACTTGTGACTAGAGAGCACCTTGATAGCTCAGTTGGTAGAGCGGTGGACTGTAAGATGCTCCTTGTGTGAAACGCTGTGATCCTAAGGTCGCTGGTTCAACTCCAGCTCCAAGCAGCTCCTTGTCATTGTAAATACCCCCAAGCCTTGTCTTTATCTGTCAACTCCTCCAAAATGTCAAAACACAAAGAAGATAACTCTTTCTTAAATTTTCAACCATCAATTTTTTATTCACCCAGCCTAAAAGTCCTGATTATCAGTTCTGGGTCCCTGGCAATGACTGTTGGGTACAAACTGCAAAGCTTTGTTCTGCAGGTAGGGCTGGGCTTTTCATTGACCATGGGTTGGAATAGTTCTGTGGGCATAGTGTGTCTACGAAGCCACTATGTTTTCTGCACTTGTGACTAGAGAGCACCTTGATAGCTCAGTTGGTAGAGCGGTGGACTGTAAGATGCTCCTTGTGTGAAACGCTGTGATCCTAAGGTCGCTGGTTCAACTCCAGCTCCAAGCACCTCCTTGTCATTGGAAATACCCCAAAGCCTTGTCTTTATCTGTCAACTCCTCCAAAATGTCAAAACACAAATAAGATAACTCTTTCTTAAATTTTCAACCATCAATTTTTTATTCACCCAGCCTAAAAGTCCTGATTATCAGTTCTGGGTCCCTGGCAATGACTGTTGGGCACAAACTGCAAAGCTTTGTTCTGCAGGTAGGGCTGGGCTTTTCATTGACCATGGGTTGGAATATTTCTGTGGGCATAGTGTGTCTTCGAAGCCACTATGTTTTCTGCACTTGTGACTAGAGAGCACCTTGATAGCTCAGTTGGTAGAGCGGTGGACTGTAAGATGCTCCTTGTGTGAAACGCTGTGATCCTAAGGTGGCTGGTTCAACTCCAGCTCCAAGCACCTCCTTGTCATTGGAAATACCCCCAAGCCTTGTCTTTATCTGTCAACTCCTCCAAAATGTCAAAACACAAACAAGATAACTCTATCTTAAATTTTCAACCATCAATTTTTTATTCACCCAGCCTAAAAGTCCTGATTATCAGTTCTGGGTCCCTGGCAATGACTGTTGGGTACAAACTGCAAAGCTTTGTTCTGCAGGTAGGGCTGGGCTTTTCATTGACCATGGGTTGGAATAGTGCTGTGGGCATAGTGTGTCTTCGAAGCCACTATGTTTTCTGCACTTGTGACTAGAGAGCACCTTGATAGCTCAGTTGGTAGAGCGGTGGACTGTAAGATGCTCCTTGTGTGAAACGCTGTGATCCTAAGGTGGCTGGTTCAACTCCAGCTCCAAGCACCTCCTTGTCATTGGAAATACCCCAAGCCTTGTCTTTATCTGTCAACTCCTCCAAAATGTCAAAACACAAAGAAGATAACTCTTTCTTAAATTTTCAACCATCAATGTTTTATTCACCCAGCCTAAAAGTCCTGATTATCAGTTCTGGGTCCCTGGCAATGACTGTTGGGTACAAACTGCAAAGCTTTGTTCTGCAGGTAGGGCTGGGCTTTTCATTGACCATGGGTTGGAATAGTTCTGTGGGCATAGTGTGTCTTCGAAGCCACTATGTTTTCTGCACTTGTGACTAGAGAGCACCTTGATAGCTCAGTTGGTAGAGCGGTGGACTGTAAGATGCTCCTTGTGTGAAACGCTGTGATCCTAAGGTGGCTGGTTCAACTCCAGCTCCAAGCACCTCCTTGTCATTGGAAATACCCCCAAGCCTTGTCTTTATCTGTCAACTCCTCCAAAATGTCAAAACACAAAGAAGATAACTCTTTCTTAAATTTTCAACCATCAATGTTTTATTCACCCAGCCTAAAAGTCCTGATTATCAGTTCTGGGTCCCTGGCAATGACTGTTGGGTACAAACTGCAAAGCTTTGTTCTGCAGGTAGGGCTGGGCTTTTCATTGACCATGGGTTGGAATAGTTCTGTGGGCATAGTGTGTCTTCGAGGCCACTATGTTTTCTGCACTTGTGACCACAGAGCACCTTGATAGCTCAGTTGGTAGAGCGGTGGACTGTAAGATGCTCCTTGAGTGAAACGCCGTGATCCTAAGGTCGCTGGTTCAACTCCAGCTCCAAGCACCTCCTTGTCATTGGAAATACCCCCAAGCCTTGTCTTTATCTGTCAACTCCTCCAAAATGTCAAAACACAAAGAAGATAACTCTTTCTTAAATTTTCAACCATCAATGTTTTATTCACCCAGCCTAAAAGTCCTGATTATCAGTTCTGGGTCCCTGGCAATGACTGTTGGGTACAAACTGCAAAGCTTTGTTCTGCAGGTAGGGCTGGGCTTTTCATTGACCATGGGTTGGAATAGTTCTGTGGGCATAGTGTGTCTTCGAAGCCACTATGTTTTCTGCACTTGTGACTAGAGAGCACCTTGATAGCTCAGTTGGTAGAGCGGTGGACTGTAAGATGCTCCTTGTGTGAAACGCTGTGATCCTAAGGTCGCTAGTTCAACTCCAGCTCCAAGCACCTCCTTGTCATTGGAAATACCCCCAAGCCTTGTCTTTATCTGTCAACTCCTCCAAAATGTCAAAACACAAAGAAGATAACTCTTTCTTAAATTTTCAACCATCAATTTTTTATTCACCCAGCCTAAAAGTCCTGATTATCAGTTCTGGGTCCCTGGCAATGACTGTTGGGTACAAACTGCAAAGCTTTGTTCTGCAGGTAGGGCTGGGCTTTTCATTGACCATGGGTTGGAATAGTTCTGTGGGCATAGTGTGTCTTCGAAGCCACTATGTTTTCTGCACTTGTGACTAGAGAGCACCTTGATAGCTCAGTTGGTAGAGCGGTGGACTGTAAGATGCTCCTTGTGTGAAACGCTGTGATCCTAAGGTGGCTGGTTCAACTCCAGCTCCAAGCACCTCCTTGTCATTGGAAATACCCCAAGCCTTGTCTTTATCTGTCAACTCCTCCAAAATGTCAAAACACAAAGAAGATAACTCTTTCTTAAATTTTCAACCATCAATGTTTTATTCACCCAGCCTAAAAGTCCTGATTATCAGTTCTGGGTCCCTGGCAATGACTGTTGGGTACAAACTGCAAAGCTTTGTTCTGCAGGTAGGGCTGGGCTTTTCATTGACCATGGGTTGGAATAGTTCTGTGGGCATAGTGTGTCTTCGAAGCCACTATGTTTTCTGCACTTGTGACTAGAGAGCACCTTGATAGCTCAGTTGGTAGAGCGGTGGACTGTAAGATGCTCCTTGTGTGAAACGCTGTGATCCTAAGGTGGCTGGTTCAACTCCAGCTCCAAGCACCTCCTTGTCATTGGAAATACCCCCAAGCCTTGTCTTTATCTGTCAACTCCTCCAAAATGTCAAAACACAAAGAAGATAACTCTTTCTTAAATTTTCAACCATCAATGTTTTATTCACCCAGCCTAAAAGTCCTGATTATCAGTTCTGGGTCCCTGGCAATGACTGTTGGGTACAAACTGCAAAGCTTTGTTCTGCAGGTAGGGCTGGGCTTTTCATTGACCATGGGTTGGAATAGTTCTGTGGGCATAGTGTGTCTTCGAAGCCACTATGTTTTCTGCACTTGTGACTAGAGAGCACCTTGATAGCTCAGTTGGTAGAGCGGTGGACTGTAAGATGCTCCTTGTGTGAAACGCCGTGATCCTAAGGTCGCTGGTTCAACTCCAGCTCCAAGCACCTCCTTGTCATTGGAAATACCCCCAAGCCTTGTCTTTATCTGTCAACTCCTCCAAAATGTCAAAACACAAACAAGATAACTCTTTCTTAAATTTTCAACCATCAATGTTTTATTCACCCAGCCTAAAAGTCCTGATTATCAGTTCTGGGTCCCTGGCAATGACTGTTGGGTACAAACTGCAAAGCTTTGTTCTGCAGGTAGGGCTGGGCTTTTCATTGACCATGGGTTGGAATAGTTCTGTGGGCATAGTGGTTCTTAAAGCCACTATGTTTTCTGCACTTGCGACTAGAGAGCACCTTGATAGCTCAGTTGGTAGAGCGGTGGACTGTAAGATGCTCCTTGTGTGAAACGCTGTGATCCTAAGGTCGCTGGTTCAACTCCAGCTCCAAGCACCTCCTTGTCATTGGAAATACCCCCAAGCCTTGTCTTTATCTGTCAACTCCTCCAAAATGTCAAAACACAAAGAAGATAACTCTTTCTTAAATTTTCAACCATCAATTTTTTATTCACCCAGCCTAAAAGTCCTGATTATCAGTTCTGGGTCCCTGGCAATGACTGTTGGGTACAAACTGCAAAGCTTTGTTCTGCAGGTAGGGCTGGGCTTTTCATTGACCATGGGTTGGAATAGTGCTGTGGGCATAGTGTGTCTTCGAAGCCACTATGTTTTCTGCACTTGTGACTAGAGAGCACCTTGATAGCTCAGTTGGTAGAGCGGTGGACTGTAAGATCCTCCTTGTGTGAAACGCTGTGATCCTAAGGTCGCTGGTTCAACTCCAGCTCCAAGCACCTCCTTGTCATTGGAAATACCCCAAAGCCTTGTCTTTATCTGTCAACTCCTCCAAAATGTCAAAACACAAACAAGATAACTCTTTCTTAAATTTTCAACCATCAATTTTTTATTCACCTAGCCTAAAAGTCCTGATTATCAGTTCTGGGTCCCTGGCAATGACTGTTGGGTACAAACTGCAAAGCTTTGTTCTGCAGGTAGGGCTGGGCTTTTCATTGACCATGGGTTGGAATAGTTCTGTGGGCATAGTGTGTCTTCGAAGCCACTATGTTTTCTGCACTTGTGACTAGAGAGCACCTTGATAGCTCAGTTTGTAGAGCGGTGGACTGTAAGATGCTCCTTTGTGGAACGCTGTGATCCTAAGGTCGCTGGTTCAACTCCAGCTCCAAGCACCTCCTTGTCATTGTAAATACCCCCAAGCCTTGTCTTTATCTGTCAACTCCTCCAAAATGTCAAAACACAAAGAAGATAACTCTTTCTTAAATTTTCAACCATCAATTTTTATTCACCCAGCCTAAAAGTCCTGATTATCAGTTCTGGGTCCCTGGCAATGACTTTTGGGTACAAACTGCAAAGCTTTGTTCTGCAGGTAGGGCTGGGCTTTTCATTGACCATGGGTTGGAATAGTTCTGTGGGCATAGTGTGTCTTCGAAGCCACTATGTTTTCTGCACTTGTGACTAGAGAGCACCTTGATAGCTCAGTTGGTAGAGCGGTGGACTGTAAGATGCTCCTTGTGTGAAACGCTGTGATCCTAAGGTCGCTGGTTCAACTCCAGCTCCAAGCAGCTCCTTGTCATTGGAAATACCCCCAAGCCTTGTCTTTATCTGTCAACTCCTCCAAAATGTCAAAACACAAAGAAGATAACTCTTTCTTAAATTTTCAACCATCAATTTTTTATTCACCCAGCCTAAAAGTCCTGATTATCAGTTCTGGGTCCCTGGCAATGACTGTTGGGTACAAACTGCAAAGCTTTGTTCTGCAGGTAGGGCTGGGCTTTTCATTGACCATGGGTTGGAATAGTGCTGTGGGCATAGTGTGTCTTCGAAGCCACTATGTTTTCTGCACTTGTGACTAGAGAGCACCTTGATAGCTCAGTTGGTAGAGCGGTGGACTGTAAGATGCTCCTTGTGTGAAACGCTGTGATCCTAAGGTCGCTGGTTCAACTCCAGCTCCAAGCACCTCCTTGACATTGGAAATACCCCCAAGCCTTGTCTTTATCTGTCAACTCCTCCAAAATGTCAAAACACAAAGAAGATAACTCTTTCTTTAATTTTCAACCATCAATTTTTTATTCACCCAGCCTAAAAGTCCTGATTATCAGTTCTGGGTCCCTGGCAATGACTGTTGGGTACAAACTGCAAAGCTTTGTTCTTCAGGTAGGGCTGGGCTTTTCATTGACCATGGGTTGGAATAGTTCTGTGGGCATAGTGTGTCTTCGAAGCCACTATGTTTTCTGCACTTGTGACTAGAGAGCACCTTGATAGCTCAGTTTGTAGAGCGGTGGACTGTAAGATGCTCCTTGTGTGAAACGCTGTGATCCTAAGGTCTCTGGTTCAACTCCAGCTCCAAGCACCTCCTTGTCATTGGAAATACCCCCAAGCCTTGTCTTTATCTTTCAACTCCTCCAAAATGTCAAAACACAAAGAAGATAACTCTTTCTTAAATTTTCAACCATCAATTTTTTATTCACCCAGCCTAACAGTCCTGATTATCAGTTCTGGGTCCCTGGCAATGACTGTTGGGTACAAACTGCAAAGCTTTGTTCTGCAGGTAGGGCTGGGCTTTTCATTGACCATGGGTTGGAATAGTTCTGTGGGCATAGTGTGTCTACGAAGCCACTATGTTTTCTGCACTTGTGACTAGAGAGCACCTTGATAGCTCAGTTGGTAGAGCGGTGGACTGTAAGATGCTCCTTGTGTGAAACGCTGTGATCCTAAGGTCGCTGGTTCAACTCCAGCTCCAAGCAGCTCCTTGTCATTGGAAATACCCCCAAGCCTTGTCTTTATCTGTCAACTCCTCCAAAATGTCAAAACACAAAGAAGATAACTCTTTCTTAAATTTTCAACCATCAATTTTTTATTCACCCAGCCTAAAAGTCCTGATTATCAGTTCTGGGTCCCTGGCAATGACTGTTGGGTACAAACTGCAAAGCTTTGTTCTGCAGGTAGGGCTGGGCTTTTCATTGACCATGGGTTGGAATAGTTCTGTGGGCATAGTGTGTCTTCGAAGCCACTATGTTTTCTGCACTTGTGACTAGAGAGCACCTTGATAGCTCAGTTGGTAGAGCGGTGGACTGTAAGATCCTCCTTGTGTGAAACGCTGTGATCCTAAGGTCGCTGGTTCAACTCCAGCTCCAAGCAACTCCTTGTCATTGGAAATACCCCCAAGCCTTGTCTTTATCTGTCAACTCCTCCAAAATGTCAAAACACAAAGAAGATAACTCTTTCTTAAATTTTCAACCATCAATGTTTTATTCACCCAGCCTAAAAGTCCTGATTATCAGTTCTGGGTCCCTGGCAATGACTGTTGGGTACAAACTGCAAAGCTTTGTTCTGCAGGTAGGGCTGGGCTTTTCATTGACCATGGGTTGGAATAGTTCTGTGGGCATAGTGTGTCTTCGAAGCCACTATGTTTTCTGCACTTGCGACTAGAGAGCACCTTGATAGCTCAGTTTGTAGAGCGGTGGACTGTAAGATGCTCCTTGTGTGAAACGCTGTGATCCTAAGGTGGCTGGTTCAACTCCAGCTCCAAGCACCTCCTTGTCATTGGAAATACCCCCAAGCCTTGTCTTTATCTTTCAACTCCTCCAAAATGTCAAAACACAAAGAAGATAACTCTTTCTTAAATTTTCAACCATCAATTTTTTATTCACCCAGCCTAAAAGTCCTGATTATCAGTTCTGGGTCCCTGGCAATGACTGTTGGGTACAAACTGCAAAGCTTTGTTCTGCAGGTAGGGCTGGGCTTTTCATTGACCATGGGTTGGAATAGTTCTGTGGGCATAGTGTGTCTTCGAAGCCACTATGTTTTCTGCACTTGTGACTAGAGAGCACCTTGATAGCTCAGTTGGTAGAGCGGTGGACTGTAAGATGCTCCTTGTGTGAAACGCTGTGATCCTAAGTTCGCTGTTTCAACTCCAGCTCCATGCACCTCCTTGTCATTGGAAATACCCCCAAGCCTTGTCTTTATCTGTCAACTCCTCCAAAATGTCAAAACACAAACAAGATAGCTCTTTCTTAAATTTTCAACCATCAATTTTTTATTCACCCAGCCTAAAAGTCCTGATTATCAGTTCTGGGTCCCTGGCAATGACTGTTGGGTACAAACTGCAAAGCTTTGTTCTGCAGGTAGGGCTGGGCTTTTCATTGACCATGGGTTGGAATAGTTCTTTGGGCATAGTGTGTCTTCGAAGCCACTATGTTTTCTGCACTTGAGACTAGAGAGCACCTTGATAGCTCAGTTGGTACAGCGGTGGACTGTAAGATGCTCCTTGTGTGAAACGCTGTGATCCTAAGGTCGCTGGTTCAACTCCAGCTCCATGCACCTCCTTGTCATTGGAAATACCCCCAAGCCTTGTCTTTATCTGTCAACTCCTCCAAAATGTCAAAACACAAAGAAGATAACTCTTTCTTAAATTTTCAACCATCAATTTTTTATTCACCCAGCCTAAAAGTCCTGATTATCAGTTCTGGGTCCCTGGCAATGACTGTTGGGTACAAACTGCAAAGCTTTGTTCTGCAGGTAGGGCTGGGCTTTTCATTGACCATGGGTTGGAATAGTTCTGTGGGCATAGTGTGTCTTCGAAGCCACTATGTTTTCTGCACTTGTGACTAGAGAACACCTTGATAGCTCAGTTGGTAGAGCGGTGGACTGTAAAATGCTCCTTGTGTGAAACGCTGTGATCCTAAGGTCGCTGGTTCAACTCCAGCTCCAAGCACCTCCTTGTCATTGGAAATACCCCCAAGCCTTGTCTTTATCTGTCAACTCCTCCAAAATGTCAAAACACAAAGAAGATAACTCTTTCTTAAATTTTCAACCATCAATGTTTTATTCACCCAGCCTAAAAGTCCTGATTATCAGTTCTGGGTCCCTGGCAATGACTGTTGGGTACAAACTGCAAAGCTTTGTTCTGCAGGTAGGGCTGGGCTTTTCATTGACCATGGGTTGGAATAGTTCTGTGGGCATAGTGTGTCTTCGAAGCCACTATGTTTTCTGCACTTGTGACTAGAGAGCACCTTGATAGCTCAGTTGGTAGAGCGGTGGCCTGTAAGATGCTCCTTGTGTGAAACGCTGTGATCCTAAGGTCGCTGGTTCAACTCCAGCTCCAAGCACCTCCGTGTCTTTGGAAATACCCCCAAGCCTTGTCTTTATCTGTCAACTCCTCCAAAATGTCAAAACACAAAGAAGATAACTCTTTCTTAAATTTTCAACCATCAATTTTTTATTCACCCAGCCTAAAAGTCCTGATTATCAGTTCTGGGTCCCTGGCAATGACTGTTGGGTACAAACTGCAAAGCTTTGTTCTGCAGGTAGGGCTGGGCTTTTCATTGACCATGGGTTGGAATAGTTCTTTGGGCATAGTGTGTCTTCGAAGCCACTATGTTTTCTGCACTTGTGCCTAGAGAGCACCTTGATAGCTCAGTTGCTAGAGCGGTGGACTCTAAGATGCTCCTTGTGTGAAACGCTGTGATCCTAAGTTCGCTGGTTCAACTCCAGCTCCATGCACCTCCTTGTCATTGGAAATACCCCCAAGCCTTGTCTTTATCTGTCAACTCCTCCAAAATGTCAAAACACAAAGAAGATAACTCTTTCTTAAATTTTCAACCATCAATTTTTTATTCACCCAGCCTAAAAGTCCTGATTATCAGTTCTGGGTCCCTGGCAATGACTGTTGGGTACAAACTGCAAAGCTTTGTTCTGCAGGTAGGGCTGGGCTTTTCATTGACCATGGGTTGGAATAGTTCTGTGGGCATAGTGTGTCTTCGAAGCCACTATGTTTTCTGCACTTGCGACTAGAGAGCACCTTGATATCTCAGTTGGTAGAGCGGTGGACTGTAAGATGCTCCTTGTGTGAAACGCTGTGATCCTAAGTTCGCTGGTTCAACTCCAGCTCCATGCACCTCCTTGTCATTGGAAATACCCCCAAGCCTTGTCTTTATCTGTCAACTCCTCCAAAATGTCAAAACACAAACAAGATAGCTCTTTCTTAAATTTTCAACCATCAATTTTTTATTCACCCAGCCTAAAAGTCCTGATTATCAGTTCTGGGTCCCTGGCAATGACTGTTGGGTACAAACTGCAAAGCTTTGTTCTGCAGGTAGGGCTGGGCTTTTCATTGACCATGGGTTGGAATAGTTCTTTGGGCATAGTGTGTCTTCGAAGCCACTATGTTTTCTGCACTTGTGACTAGAGAGCACCTTGATAGCTCAGTTGGTAGAGCGGTGGACTGTAAGATGCTCCTTGTGTGAAACGCTGTGATCCTAAGTTCGCTGGTTCAACTCCAGCTCCATGCACCTCCTTGTCATTGGAAATACCCCCAAGCCTTGTCTTTATCTGTCAACTCCTCCAAAATGTCAAAACAAAAAGAAGATAACTCTTTCTTAAATTTTCAACCATCAATTTTTTATTCACCCAGCCTAAAAGTCCTGATTATCAGTTCTGGGTCCCTGGCAATGTCTGTTGGGTACAAACTGCAAAGCTTTGTTCTGCAGGTAGGGCTGGGCTTTTCATTGACCATGGGTTGGAATAGTTCTGTGGGCATAGTGTGTCTTCGAAGCCACTATGTTTTCTGCACTTGTGAATAGAGAGCACCTTGATAGCTCAGTTGGTAGAGCGGTGGACTGTAAAATGCTCCTTGTGTGAAACGCTGTGATCCTAAGGTCGCTGGTTCAACTCCAGCTCCAAGCACCTCCTTGTCATTGGAAATACCCCCAAGCCTTGTCTTTATCTGTCAACTCCTCCAAAATGTCAAAACACAAAGAAGATAACTCTTTCTTAAATTTTCAACCATCAATGTTTTATTCACCCAGTCTAAAAGTCCTGATTATCAGTTCTGGGTCCCTGGCAATGACTGTTGGGTACAAACTGCAAAGCTTTGTTCTGCAGGTAGGGCTGGGCTTTTCATTGACCATGGGTTGGAATAGTTCTGTGGGCATAGTGTGTCTTCGAAGCCACTATGTTTTCTGCACTTGTGACTAGAGAGCACCTTGATAGCTCAGTCGGTAGAGCGGTGGACTGTAAGATGCTCCTTGTGTGAAACGCCGTGATCCTAAGGTCGCTGGTTCAACTCCAGCTCTAAGCACCTCCTTGTCATTGGAAATACCCCCAAGCCTTGTCTTTATCTGTCAACTCCTCCAAAATGTCAAAACACAAAGAAGATAACTCTTGCTTAAATTTTCAACCATCAATTTTTTATTCACCCAGCCTAAAAGTCCTGATTATCAGTTCTGGGTCCCTGGCAATGACTGTTGGGTACAAACTGCAAAGCTTTGTTCTGCAGGTAGGGCTGGGCTTTTCATTGACCATGGGTTGGAATAGTTCTGTGGGCATAGTGTGTCTTCGAAGCCACTATGTTTTCTGCACTTGTGACTAGAGAGCACCTTGATAGCTCAGTTGGTAGAGCGGTGGACTGTAAGATGCTCCTTGTGTGAAACGCTGTGATCCTAAGGTCGCTGGTTCAACTCCAGCTCCAAGCACCTCCTTGTCATTGGAAATACCCCCAAGCCTTGTCTTTATCTGTCAACTCCTCCAAAATGTCAAAACACAAAGAAGATAACTCTTTCTTAAATTTTCAACCATCAATGTTTTATTCACCCAGCCTAAAAGTCCTGATTATCAGTTCTGGGTCCCTGGCAATGACTGTTGGGTACAAACTGCAAAGCTTTGTTCTGCAGGTAGGGCTGGGCTTTTCATTGACCATGGGTTGGAATAGTTCTGTGGGCATAGTGTGTCTTAGAAGCCACTATGTTTTCTGCACTTGTGAATAGAGAGCACCTTGATAGCTCAGTTGGTTGAGCGGTGGACTGTAAGATGCTCCTTGTGGGAAACGCCGTGATCCTAAGGTCGCTGGTTCAACTCCAGCTCCAAGCACCTCCTTGTCATTGGAAATACACCCTAGCCTTGTCTTTGTCTGTCAACTCCTCCAAAATGTCAAAACACAAAGAACATAACTCTTTCTTAAATTTTCAACCATCAATTTTTTATTCACCCAGCCTAAAAGTCCTGATTATCAGTTCTGGGTCCCTGGCAATGACTGTTGGGTACAAACTGGAAAGCTTTGTTCTGCAGGTAGGGCTGGGCTTTTCATTGACCATGGGTTGGAATAGTTCTGTGGGCATAGTGTGTCTTCGAAGCCACTATGTTTTCTGCACTTGTGACTAGAGAGCACCTTGATAGCTCAGTTGGTAGAGCGGTGGACTGTAAGATGCTCCTTGTGTGAAACGCTGTGATCCTAAGGTCGCTGGTTCAACTCCAGCTCCAAGCACGTCCTTGTCATTGGAAATACCCCCAAGCCTTGTCTTTATCTGTCAACTCCTCCAAAATGTCAAAACACAAACAAGATAACTCTTTCTTAAATTTTCAACCATCAATGTTTTATTCACCCAGCCTAAAAGTCCTGATTATCAGTTCTGGGTCCCTGGCAATGACTGTTGGGTACAAACTGCAAAGCTTTGTTCTGCAGGTAGGGCTGGGCTTTTCATTGACCATGGGTTGGAATAGTTCTGTGGGCATAGTGTGTCTTCGAAGCCACTATGTTTTCTGCACTTGTGAATAGAGATCACCTTGATAGCTCAGTTGGTTGAGCGGTGGACTGTAAGATGCTCCTTGTGGGAAATGCTGTGATCCTAAGGTCGCTGGTTCAACTCCAGCTCCAAGCACCTCCTTGTCATTGGAAATACCCCATAGCCTTGTCTTTATCTGTCAACTCCTCCAAAATGTCAAAACACAAACAAGATAACTCTTTCTTAAATTTTCAACCATCAATTTTTTATTCACCCAGCCTAAAAGTCCTGATTATCAGTTCTGGGTCCCTGGCAATGACTGTTGGGTACAAACTGCAAAGCTTTGTTCTGCAGGTAGGGCTGGGCTTTTCATTGACCATGGGTTGGAATAGTTCTGTGGGCATAGTGTGTCTTCGAAGCCACTATGTTTTCTGCACTTGTGACTAGAGAGCACCTTGATAGCTCAGTTGGTAGAGCGGTGGACTGTAAGATGCTCCTTGTGTGAAACGCTGTGATCCTAAGGTCGCTGGTTCAACTCCAGCTCCAAGCACCTCCTTGTCATTGGAAATACCCCCAAGCCTTGTCTTTATCTGTCAACTCCTCCAAAATGTCAAAACACAAACAAGATAACTCTTTCTTAAATTTTCAACCATCAATGTTTTATTCACCCAGTCTAAAAGTCCTGATTATCAGTTCTGGGTCCCTGGCAATGACTGTTGGGTACAAACTGCAAAGCTTTGTTCTGCAGGTAGGGCTGGGCTTTTCATTGACCATGGGTTGGAATAGTTCTGTGGGCATAGTGTGTCTTCGAAGCCACTATGTTTTCTGCACTTGTGACTAGAGAGCACCTTGATAGCTCAGTTGGTAGAGCGGTGTACTGTAAGATGCTCCTTGTATGAAACGCTGTGATCCTAAGGTCGCTGGTTCAACTCCAGCTCCAAGCACCTCCTTGTCATTGGAAATACCCCAAAGCCTTGTCTTTATCTGTCAACTCCTCCAAAATGTCAAAACACAAAGAAGATAACTCTTGCTTAAATTTTCAACCATCAATTTTTTATTCACCCAGACTCAAAGTCCTGATTATCAGTTCTGGGTCCCTGGCAATGACTGTTGGGTACAAACTGCAAAGCTTTGTTCTGCAGGTAGGGCTGGGCTTTTCATTGACCATGGGTTGGAATAGTTCTGTGGGCATAGTGTGTCTTCGAAGCCACTATGTTTTCTGCACTTGTGACTAGAGAGCACCTTGATAGCTCAGTTGGTAGAGCGGTGTACAGTAAGATGCTCCTTGTATGAAACGCTGTGATCCTAAGGTCGCTGGTTCAACTCCAGCTCCAAGCACCTCCTTGTCATTGGAAATACCGCAAAGCCTTGTCTTTATCTGTCAACTCCTCCAAAATGTCAAAACACAAAGAAGATAACTCTTGCTTAAATTTTCAACCATCAATTTTTTATTCACCCAGACTCAAAGTCCTGATTATCAGTTCTGGGTCCCTGGCAATGACTGTTGGGTACAAACTGCAAAGCTTTGTTCTGCAGGTAGGGCTGGGCTTTTCATTGACCATGGGTTGGAATAGTTCTGTGGGCATAGTGTGTCTTCGAAGCCACTATGTTTTCTGCACTTGTGAATAGAGAGCACCTTGATAGCTCAGTTGGTTGAGCGGTGGACTGTAAGATGCTCCTTGTGGGAAACGCCGTGATCCTAAGGTCGCTGGTTCAACTCCAGCTCCAAGCACCTCCTTGTCATTGGAAATACCCCCAAGCCTTGTCTTTATCTGTCAACTCCTCCAAAATGTCAAAACACAAACAAGATAACTCTTGCTTAAATTTTCAACCATCAATGTTTTATTCACCCAGCCTAAAAGTCCTGATTATCAGTTCTGGGTCCCTGGCAATGACTGTTGGGTACAAACTGCAAAGCTTTGTTCTGCAGGTAGGGCTGGGCTTTTCATTGACCATGGGTTGGAATAGTTCTGTGGGCATAGTGTGTCTTCGAAGCCACTATGTTTTCTGCACTTGTGAATAGAGAGCACCTTGATAGCTCAGTTGGTAGAGCGGTGGACTGTAAGATGCTCCTTGTGTGAAACGCTGTGATCCTAAGGTCGCTGGTTCAACTCCAGCTCCAAGCACCTCCTTGTCATTGGAAATACCCCAAAGCCTTGTCTTTATCTGTCAACTCCTCCAAAATGTCAAAACACAAAGAAGATAACTCTTGCTTAAATTTTCAACCATCAATTTTTTATTCACCCAGACTCAAAGTCCTGATTATCAGTTCTGGGTCCCTGGCAATGACTGTTGGGTACAAACTGCAAAGCTTTGTTCTGCAGGTAGGGCTGGGCTTTTCATTGACCATGGGTTGGAATAGTTCTGTGGGCATAGTGTGTCTTCGAAGCCACTATGTTTTCTGCACTTGTGACTAGAGAGCACCTTGATAGCTCAGTTGGTAGAGCGGTGTACTGTAAGATGCTCCTTGTGGGAAACGCCGTGATCCTAAGGTCGCTGGTTCAACTCCAGCTCCAAGCACCTCCTTGTCATTGGAAATACCGCAAAGCCTTGTCTTTATCTGTCAACTCCTCCAAAATGTCAAAACACAAAGAAGATAACTCTTGCTTAAATTTTCAACCATCAATTTTTTATTCACCCAGACTCAAAGTCCTGATTATCAGTTCTGGGTCCCTGGCAATGACTGTTGGGTACAAACTGCAAAGCTTTGTTCTGCAGGTAGGGCTGGGCTTTTCATTGACCATGGGTTGGAATAGTTCTGTGGGCATAGTGTGTCTTCGAAGCCACTATGTTTTCTGCACTTGTGACTAGAGAGTACCTTGATAGCTCAGTTGGTAGAGCGGTGGACTGTAAGATGCTCCTTGTGTGAAACGCTGTGATCCTAAGGTCGCTGGTTCAACTCCAGCTCCAAGCACCTCCTTGTCATTGGAAATACCCCCAAGCCTTGTCTTTATCTGTCAACTCCTCCAAAATGTCAAAACACAAACAAGATAACTCTTTCTTAAATTTTCAACCATCAATGTTTTATTCACCCAGCCTAAAAGTCCTGATTATCAGTTCTGGGTCCCTGGCAATGACTGTTGGGTACAAACTGCAAAGCTTTGTTCTGCAGGTAGGGCTGGGCTTTTCATTGACCATGGGTTGGAATAGTTCTGTGGGCATAGTGTGTCTTCGAAGCCACTATGTTTTCTGCACTTGTGAGTAGAGAGCACGTTGATAGCTCAGTTGGTAGAGCGGTGGACTGTAAGATGCTCCTTGTGTGAAACGCCGTGATCCTAAGGTCGCTGGTTCAACTCCAGCTCCAAGCACCTCCTTGTCATTGGAAATACCCCCAAGCCTTGTCTTTATCTGTCAACTCCTCCAAAATGTCAAAACACAAAGAAGATAACTCCTTCTTAAATTTTCAACCATCAATGTTTTATTCACCCAGCCTAAAAGTCCTGATTATCAGTTCTGGGTCCCTGGCAATGACTGTTGGGTACAAACTGCAAAGCTTTGTTCTGCAGGTAGGGCTGGACTTTTCATTGACCATGGGTTGGAATAGTTCTGTGGGCATAGTGTGTCTTCGAAGCCACTATGTTTTCTGCACTTGTGACTAGACAGCACCTTGATAGCTCAGTTGGTAGAGCGGTGGACTGTAAAATGCTCCTTGTGTGAAACGCCGTGATCTTAAGGTCGCTGGTTCAACTCCAGCTCCAAGCACCTCCTTGTCATTGGAAATACCCCCAGGCCTTGTCTTTATCTGTCAACTCCTCCAAAATGTCAAAACACAAAGAAGATAACTCTTTCTTAAATTTTCAACCATCAATGTTTTATTCACCCAGCCTAAAAGTCCTGATTATCAGTTCTGGGTCCCTGGCAATGACTGTTGGGTACAAACTGCAAAGCTTTGTTCTGCAGGTAGGGCTGGGCTTTTCATTGACCATGGGTTGGAATAGTTCTGTGGGCATAGTGTGTCTTCGAAGCCACTATGTTTTCTGCACTTGTGACTAGAGAGCACCTTGATAGCTCAGTTGGTAGAGCGGTGGACTGTAAGATGCTCCTTGTGTGAAACGCTGTGATCCTAAGGTCGCTGGTTCAACTCCAGCTCCAAGCACCTCCTTGTCATTGGAAATACCCCCAAGCCTTGTCTTTATCTGTCAACTCCTCCAAAATGTCAAAACACAAAGAAGATAACTCTTTCTTAAATTTTCAACCATCAATGTTTTATTCACCCAGCCTAAAAGTCCTGATTATCAGTTCTGGGTCCCTGGCAATGACTGTTGGGTACAAACTGCAAAGCTTTGTTCTGCAGGTAGGGCTGGGCTTTTCATTGACCATGGGTTGGAATAGTTCTGTGGGCATAGTGTGTCTTCGAAGCCACTATGTTTTCTGCACTTGTGACGAGAGAGCACCTTGATAGCTCAGTTGGTAGAGCGGTGGACTGTAAGATGCTCCTTGTGGGAAACGCCGTGATCCTAAGGTCGCTGGTTCAACTCCAGCTCCAAGCACCTCCTTGTCATTGGAAATACCCCCTAGCCTTGTCTTTATCTGTCAACTCCTCCAAAATGTCAAAACACAAACAAGATAACTCTTGCTTAATTTTCCAACCATCAATGTTTTATTCACCCAGCCTAAAAGTCCTGATTATCAGTTCTGGGTCCCTGGCAATGACTGTTGGGTACAAACTGCAAAGCTTTGTTCTGCAGGTAGGGCTGGGCTTTTCATTGACCATGGGTTGGAATAGTTCCGTGGTCATAGTGTGTCTTCGAAGCCATTATGTTTTCTGCACTTGTGACTAGAGAGCACCTTGATTGCTCACTTGGTAGAGTGGTGGACTGTAAGATGCTCCTCGTGTGAAAAGCTGTGATCCTAAGGTCGCTCGTTCAACTCCAGCCCCAAGCACCTCCTTGTCATTGCAAATACTCCCAAGCCTTGTCTTTATCTGTCAACTCCTCCAAAATGTCAAAACACAAACAAGATAACTCTTTCTTAAATTTTCAACCATCAATTTTTATTCACCCAGCCTAAAAGTCCTGATTATCAGTTCTGGGTCCCCGGCAATGACTGTTGGGTACAAACTGCAAAGCTTTGTTCTGCAGGTAGGGCTGGGCTTTTCATTGACCATGGGTTGGAATAGTTCTGTGGGCATAGTGTGTCTTCGAAGCTACTATGTTTTTTGCACTTGTGACTACAGAGCACCTTGATAGCCCAGTTGGTAGAGCGGTGGACTGTAAGATGCTCCTTGTGTGAAACGTTGTGATCCTAAGGTTGCTGGTTCAACTCCAGCTCCCAGCACGTGCATTTCATTGGTGTGAGCAATGTTCAAATTCTATTCACATTGAAATAATGCCAAGCCTTATCTTCATCTGTCATCTCCTCCTTAATGTATAAACACAAAGAATTTAACTCTTGCTTAATTTTCCAACCATCAATTTTTTATTCACCCAGCCTAAAAGTCCTGATCATAAGTTCTGGGTCCCTGGCAATGACTGTTGGGTACAAACTGCAAAGCTTTCTTCTGCAGGTAGGGCTGGGCTTTTCATTGACCATGGGTTCAAATAGTTCTGTGGGCATAGTGTTTCGACTCAGCCACTATGTTTTCTGCAGTAGTAACTAGAGAGCATCTTGATAGCTCAGTTGGTAGAGCGGAGGACTGTAGGATGTTTCCGATAGAAATTGCTGTGATCCTTAGATCGCTGGTTCGACTCCGGCTCGAATGATATGTAAGCAGTCTTCTGGTTTTAATCACATCGAAATAATGCGTAGCCTTGTCTTTTTCAATCAACTACGTCACTTAAAATGTACAAACACAAATAAGATAACTCCTCCTTGTGATGGACCCACTTACTTTTCCGGTTGACCACCTTTATGAAAGGCTCATATGGCCTACATATCACACAAAAAATGTAAACACGATAGAAATGATTAATTCAATGAATTCATCTTAGAAATAAATGGGCATGGGCTGCAGGGGCTGTGTGATCACAGACAACATCTCGGTACTATTTAGCGCACACCCCTTTTAATAACCCCCATAAATACTGTTGTTCCGGACTTCTTACTTGTGCTTCCTACCTACCTACTGTAATAACCGTTGTTCCAGCCAACATGCAACATTTTTGTTCTCATTCATGAAACGCTTAAATCGGGGACATTTTCGGGGACAGACATATGGTGACTGTCCCCGGAAATCAGGGACGTCTGGTCACCTTAGTTAAAAGCGCATGTTGAACAGTGCTATTTCAGGGTGATAATGGCATCAAAGATGAATTTTCTGCCAGCATTCCCTCCGTGCTTTTGCAGCGGCGACGGTGTTGCTTTTGAGGTTTATGATAGATTTGAATTCTTCATACTTTCTTATGATTGTTTTCTGCCCCTTGTTTGTGAAGTCTGCGGTCCTTCGCTCTGCAGTCTGCTCTCTGACGCTCCAGACTGGTCCATGTTCGCGATTGGTCAGATGTGGCGGGCTCCGCCTTAAATGCGTGCATGCGCTCATAGCAAAGCTGGATCAACTTACGAGGTTGTTAACCAGCGTCGTAAGACCGTTTAGCGAGACCGCTGGCTACCGCGCTAAGTTGAGCGAGGTACCTCCAAGGCTACCTTGCTAGGTTGAACTTGCTTTGTATAACAGGCCCCTGTTCTCTGTGCTGTATCAGTTTTCAGTGTTTCTTGTTTTATTTTGTAGTAGCTGATTTTTTGTGTTTCTAGACTGGTTTTACTTCCCTAGTTTTCCCTCCTTTGTTAATCACTCATGAGTTTCACCTGTGTCTCGTCAGCCTCACCTGTTGCTCGTTAGCCTCACCTGTGTCTCGTCAGCATCACCTGTTGCTCGTTTCCCAGTGTTTATAAAGTCCCTGTCTTCTCCTCTGTTCTTGCTGGTTCTTTGTGTGTGCATGTCTGTCTGTTCCCTGTGATCTTTGAGTCCCAAATATCCTTGTAATTTTTTTCACCCCACTGTCTAAAGCTGGATTTTGCCTTTTGGATGTTTTAGTTGGACATTTTAAAGTAAGTTTTTGTTGCTTTACATAAAGTTCTTTTTAAATAAATCATTTTTTGTTCCGCATTTGGGTCCTTTTTTCTGTTGTTCAACTCTGCTACGTGACAGTTACAGTTGAAGCAAAAAGAAAAAAGGTGCATCTTTGTTTTTCTTATAAAATCGTTTTAGGTCTTCTCAATTTATCCCAAATACTCCTTTCACTAGAGAGTTTAGTTCAAAATTTTCCAGGTGGGCTTTAAAGATGTATATTGACTAAAGTGGCAGCATCAGGTTAGATGCCAGCTAACTGAAAACTTGTTCTCAAATCTCATCCTTACAAGCATGTAGGTTAAACTTGGTCTTGTAAACCTTGTGGGAAAAATCACTTTTCTTACTGGTATTTTTCTAATTATTCTTCTAATTTCATTTCTTCTTTTGAAGTGAAGCAGGTACGCAGCAGATGCCGATCACCTTGGCCTCTAAGTTGGGAAATCTTCGGGAAAACTGAGATGGAAGCCAGGCTATCAACTGCTGCAAGTGGGGTCAGCTTCACCATTTAATGAAACTCCAACCCAAAGGCTCATGTTGGTAAAGATGTACACATGACACAGAATTTTTCCAGTACTCAATTTTGCCACCAGAAAGCCTGTTCATTACTGTTCTCCTTTGTACTCAAGATGAGGCACATCCATGTTTATCCAGTCAGCTTTGAAAGAAATTAAAAAAACACAATTTAAATGTGACCACGCCCAAAGTTTGTGTAATTAAAATGAAGACAAGTAGACAAAGAGAACCTCACAATTGCAAACGGACACATTTTCAACAGCTTTGCCTCTTCAGAACTCGAACATGGGTTATGTGAATCACTGAGTTTAACTTTGACTGTAGCTCTTCCATGAGTTACATGTGGTGCCTGGGGGTTTTTGCCAATCTCTCTCCGTAAGAACTAAAAAAAGCTTTTTAGATGAGAGGTAAAAAGTCTCTGAGGAAATTTCTCAAATGTCAGGCTCAGGCAAGGCTGCAGTACCAAGAGTCATGAGTCAGAGAACTCCATGAATAAGAAGAAAAGATTTTGATCATGCGTTTTCCAATAAATACAAACCAAATAAACTGTGAGGAAAAATTGGAAATGACAAAGAAAGATGGAAAGACCTCAGTGTGTTTTATCTGAACTGCAGGTTTGACAGCTCGTTTAGAGTCCTTTAGCTGCAGGCTGCTGAGAAAAGGTAAAGTTGATAATCTTTCCTCTCCATCTCCCCTTCCTGGGGTCTCTCCTCTCCTCTACCTCAGTGTGGGATGATCCATGGGTGGTGTAGACACGCAGAGCAGGAAAACGCTGATCACTGAGAGCTGGATTCATCTGAGCAGTCGGAGACCTTGGCAGCAGGCTGAGCTGGGAGCTGTTATCTATCTATCAGCGAAATGTCAGCTGCAGCCCTGTGGTCTCTCAGATGAGAAATTAAAAAAAAGACAAGTGGGATTAAAAAGGAGAGGAAGGAGGCATGAAAGCAGCTCGAGTTTCTGTTTGCCAAAATCAATCCAATCTGATTACCTCAGGATTTTACACATTAGAGAAACAGCTAATCTTAACAGCGCTGTGTGATGTGAGTGGAGGGCAGCTTCACTGTGATTAAGGCAAACCTGTTTATGCAAATATTCCCCAACAAAACAAACTTTTATCCTAGAGATCCTTCCAAGGGAACATTTTCAACGTGCCAACAGTACAGTATTCACCCAGACTTTATCCCTCATGTTTTTATAGTTAAGGTAGTCAGTATTTCTGAACATTTATTTCAATTTATATTGAAATTCAAGGTAACATGAGAGCACTCTCCTCTTTTGACCCAAAAATGTTGCAAGTTTCCCTTTCAGAAGATTTGTAATGCACATCCTACAGTGAAAGACTGGTATGCAGTATGTGCGGAAGAACAGCTTCTCTTCTCGAGATTTGTTCCTGTCTGGTCTACCATGCCCCCCTCTTGTCACACCTCCCATCACCCTCATTACCTCTTGTATTTTACCTGGTGTGCCTCATAGTCTTATCGCCAATTCGTTGCACTTCTTGTCTTGCTCCAGTATTTTTTCATAGTTATTGCCAAGCTGTGTATTACCTTTGCCTTTTCGGATCTTGCCTTTTGCCTCACGTTTTTGATACCTCTGCCTGACCTGACTGCCTTTTTGTGAACCAACCTTTGCCAGATCATCATTAAACCCTGTCTGTTTGACAAGCTGAATTGGTGTCGCGCTGTTGTGTCCTCCAGTCTGTGCTTTGGTTCAGGATGGGTCCAAGATTTTGCCCAACACAACAACAGGTGCTGATGTACAGTAAGTGCAAATTCACTTACTGCTTACACATTGTGGGTGCATAAAGATAATAACAATGACACTTTCACTGCATGCTAAGTGCTTCCCATAGAGTGTACAACAACATTGGCCTTTGTCTTCTGAAAATTTATATTTTTTTGTCATGTTTAAATTCAATACTAAATGAAAGAAAAAAATGTATATACTGCTGAAACTTGGTAGTGTCATTGCACAGTATCAATCCATTTAAACAGTTAATCAATTTCTCTTGAGTTAAAAGCTCTAATAGACACGAGGACTCTAAATTCTCGTGTGTTGAAAATATTTAGAAAAAAAGTTTGTGCTCTTTGTGTGAAAGAGGCTTTAGAGGTCTTGTGTCAGCATGCACTGTGGTTATTTTCTGCTCTTATGCTGCTGTCTGTACAGCCACATACCTCCTGTTTGTGCACTGTCTTGCTGTCAAATAGCCCCTCTTACTGTTAATGTTGCTTCTCAGTACATTTAGATGCTTTCATGCACTTTATCCTACTTGTGGAAATATAATCTGCTGCTGTATGAATGTTGAGAGCTGATAGATTTGCTGTTTGCTGCTGTGGAGGGTTTCCAGCGACATCAGAAGGGTACTTTTAGAAATTATACATAACTGTAGTGAAAAAGATGAGTTTTTATGCACTGCAGAGACTGGTTTAGTACAAATACTCAAGCAAGTATAGAGCTGACTGAAGGAGGAAAAAGGTATCTTCATCTCTTAAACTGTCATACATGTTATATCAGTGCAGTTGGCATTGACAGATTTAAAGGGATAGTCTGATGTATAATTAGTTTGGGGTCAAACACACCATAACACCGAGTTAGACACCACCTCGAGAGATGAATGTCGCTGACTGCTTGCTTCTCTAGTTATACTAACTTTAGTAATGACTGCATGATAGCAATACACAGCGGTCTCAGGAGCCATGCGCTCAACCAAACAGCCACTCTATTGCCACAAATAATGCTCAGAACAGCACCTAACTTCATCAACAGTTCATATAGGGTCCCAGCCATAGCACTAGCCACCAAACATCTTTTTGGCTTTGCCTGGTTTCTTTAACAAAGAGACTTAACACAACTCACCTCTCTCTTCCAGCAGCCGCTTATTTGTATGGAGACTTCGGGCAAATCCAAACTGACTGAGCAGAGGAACGCAGCTCAAGGGAGAATATTTATGATGATTTCTTCATGGAAATGCAATCAGACCATGACGCTAAGGCAGAAGAACTACCGCGTCTGCAGTGCAAAATGATTAATATGATTATTACCGCAAGGAAATTATAAAGAAATGATCATAAATGTTCTTTCTTGCGCTGATTCATCCCGCTGCAGTCTGTGTTGGACTCATCTGAGGTCTCCATACAAACAAGCGGCTGCTGGAAGAGAGTGGGTGAGTTGTGTTTGGTCTCTTCGCTAAAGAAATTAGGCAAAGTTAAAAAGATGTTTGGTGGCTAGTGCTGTGGCCAGGACCCTATATGTACTGTTGATGAAGTTAGGTGCTGTTCTGAGCATTACTTGTGGCTATAGAGTGGCGTTTTGGTTGAGCGTGTGGCTCTTTAGACCTCTGTGGATTGCTATCATGCAGTCGTTACTAAAGTTGGTATAACTAGAGAAGCAAGTGGTCGGCAACAATCATTCCTCAATGGGGTGTCTAACTCAGTGTTACAGTGTGTTTGAACCTAACTTAATTTTACGCCAGAATATCCCTTTAAAAGTCCAAATTCAGACTGGCACTCAAACAACTCATGCCCCCCCCCCCCCCCCCTCCTTTTTTTTAAAGGGCTTTCATAGTTAATGTGGGAACATCATCATCATCCACCACAGACGTCCCCTGTGAGGTTCCCCAAGGTTCAGTACTTGGCCCCCTCCTCATCTATCTTTACATCCTATCTCTTGCTTACATAATCCATCCATACAAGAGCTCTTACCAAAGCTATGCACTATTACCTTTCATATTAAACATCCTGAAAGCACAAGCACCCTTAGAAACTTGCTTGAGTACATTGGAGCTAAATGTCAGCAAAATCCCTCAAAACAGGATCTAGGTTTGTCTTCACATAATGTCAGCAGCCAGGAATTTTGGTGACTGTTTTGTCATATTAATGTGAAGCCTTTTTAATTGGAGAAATCCTCCATACTTTAATTTATTTTGTTGGTTTTTTTTAGAAAAAAGACAACTCTTGCTAGTTGTCTTAGCCAGAAATCAACTCAACATCTCCAGCTCTTCAATATGCAGCAGCAAGAATTGAACTTGTAATTAGATATTGGGATCATATCTTTTCTGTTTTGGCACACCTGAAATGACTACTTTTTTTAGAGTTTTTTTTAGAGCTTATTTAGAGATTTGATTTCGAGACCATGGTTTCAAACACCAGCACAAACTGATGAATTTGTAACAGCAACAAGTGTTTTCGTATTCAGAGAGAAGCTGCGGGTGTTGGGCACCAGCTGGGAGATGAAACAAGGTTGTTGTTGTGTACAGAAGGACTAGTAATTTTGGACATTTCTTATTGTAACAACTTGACAAATGAAGGATGATATTTATCAGGCCAAAGTAGTGTTTTGATCTAAAATCTAGTCACTAGATATCATTAAATATTTCCACTTATAAAATTTCATCTAAAATCACACATCTATCATCATTTTCTTCAAGCTTTGCGTGAATCTTGAAGTGTTTTCTCTGTTTTTGTACTGTGAACATATTGTAGTTGGGGCCCAGCTCGGAGCGAAACTCAATCAATCATTCCAACCAAGATGCACCTTCTCTCTATTCTTCTGTTTGATTTAAACCATCTATCTCCTGACAAAACTGAGCAAGACCATGTCAACATCGATGAAGCATCTTTGCTAAGGAATCAACTTTTTATCCCAGCTGTGAAATGCACTCTGCAGGTATTCCTGATTCTTTGGTGCTGCAGAGTTCTGCCTGTGTGGTTTTTGTTCAGCAGATCAGGCAGATCGGCTCTTGTCTGCTCCACAACGTGCAGCTGGGAAGCCTGCAGTGATCACACATTTACCAACACACCCACACACAAACAGAGACACACACCTACCTCATGATTGATGTCTGGCTTATCCCTGCAGATTATCTGACTAGTCATTTGCAGTGAGCTAAATAATAGGTCTGCACACTGCCTATGTCTGTGAATACGTCAGTGTGTGTATGCCGTGTGAAAGTGTGTCATCCCTCCTCCATTAATGCAGCTGCCTGGCTAACTGTGACCTACGTCAGAGCATTTAATCAATCTCAAACTAAATCAGCGGGACTTTTTTGAGATACAGATCAATTTAGTATTTTGTAAAAGCTTGAATGTGAATGTTGACAATTTAATAACACGATGATTCACCACAGAACAGCTCCTTTGTTACAGAGATCAATCTGTACATTTTAAAGTTGTCAATTTGACAGCTGAAAACTTTGCTCAGATCAAAGAACTATCTGAAAAATTAAGAGCTTATTTTATCCCAAAATTGTATTACTGATGTAAAAAAAAAAAAAACGATTTAAGTAGACGTCTTTTGGGAAAATGGTTTCCATTCTGCATAAAATAAATGTCAGAATGATTTTTAG